CAACGAAGAAATTTATCTCCAACCAATTAAATCACAGAACGGCCTTTACAATACCATATAAGGAAATCTCCAAAACGCTTATCGAAAACGGAAATGAATTATCACCAATACGAACATAGATAGATATGAAAATAACACCAACGCAAATGCATAAAGTTACTAGATGGGTTGCATTCAGCGCGGCGCAAAAAGTTATACACAGAGTGAATAAAAGTGAAATATAGACAACATGTTGGCATTGTTTTAAAACTGTTACATGTTCTTATGTACACGCAATTTATCATTTCACGTGTTGTTTCCTCTCAATTGATCGTATATGTATTTTAATGTGTTTTTGTGCTAAATTAATTTATCATGTTTTCTACTTTCATTTATGACGGCACGTGTGTTTTGTTTTTCTGCATTTGATTCAGTTACCTCATTTTTATCGTACAATTTGAGATGTTTTTATTTATCTATTTTCTCTTGTATTTTGTTGCTGTAGTTGATTTATTTCGTGTATTTTTGTGTTAGGCCAGGTTTTTTTTGCTTCCTGGTTCGTGTTTTCCTGACTTTTCGGTTTGGGTTTGCTCCGCGGAACCAAGCCCCGTGCGTAATAAAGTTCATTTTCTTATTTCCTTCGCACGCACAAAACTTTTGGCTTTTATTTCATTCCCTACCAGATTATCTCTTCTGTCCCAACACGTACAAGAACCGATTACACAACGTAGGAGTTCATTTGTGCCGACCGCTATTTTCGACGTTTGTTTACGATTTGGTATACGATTTTTCAATATCCCGATTGGGTCGGGCTAGCTTCACGGTAGCAAAACCCACGATAGAAAAATTGTTATATGTTAGTGTTAAACGTTTATTTACGTTTGTTTCGCTATATTGGACGTTTGTTTACCATGTGGTGTGCTATTTTTTGATATTCAGTTAGACCAGTCATTGGAGATTTTTACCTGGAAATAAGTCCGGAAGTTTTGAAACTTTGTAGGTTTATAGGTTTTGGGACCTAGAACTAAAATTCACAAAATGCACAATCCGAGACATGCCGCCGGTGCCGTCATCTTGCTAATATGGCGCCCAAAAACGGTTTTTTGCAAATATCTCCGAAACTATGCGTTTTTAGAAGAATGTAGTACGCAAAATTAAAGGGGAAGAAGTTTCCTATAAAATATGTTCCTAGTAAATATTTGTCACGAAATAATGGCATATCTTTTATTCAATGAATCGATTAATTCATTAATTAATCCATGTTAGTAATTTATGATCAATTAATTTCGATTTAAAATGCTATACTTTTTTCCACACCACCCAAGAGGTAAAGTACACGGCGCGTTTTTTTAACGTGGTTTCCCCTGTAGGCCTAATCCACTTAAGTACTAAAATTATTACTCTGCGGAGTATTTTTCATTGCCATACTTTTTACGACACGTTTCGTGAACGGTTACTGAATCACGGTTTCTTAAATAGGTTATTTTCCTGTCTTTTCTCTTCAAACTTAATCGTCTAAAAGTATTCAAATCCCGTTCTTTCACCTTCACAGTTTTGTCCTCCGTAAGACTTTCGTCACAAACAAAACACTTTTCAATCGAAGTCATAATAAAAGAAATAACACAATCAATTTATTGCACTTGCACTATTGTCAAGTAAAATCAACACGTAAACGCTAAATACGTTGCGAAACGTAACACTTTTTCGAATCTATTACCAAACACGCTTATTACCGAATCAGTACAACTGTTAAGCGACACGACAAACGATCTGCTTCGAGACGCCTTGTAGAGAGATGACGGGTAAATAGCCAGCGCCCTCTGGTGGCGCTTTATTGCACGTGTGCACATCGGCATCTGCACTTATGCTAGGAATGTGCCGGTTACTCAGTAAATTATAAATGTAACGAGAAATCAATTGAATAGCCCGTTTTACTATAAACGATAAATTTAAACGCATAGGTATATGGAGATAGGGGCAGTTTATGGAAATGAACAGAATATGTTGTCATTCAATCAGCTCTTGAGCCTAAACGGCTTACTTTAGCAAAAATATGCTAAGAACATTTCTTATAGGAAATTTCTGCCTCTTCAATTTTGCTCTCAACATACTTTTTGGAAAATCGCATAGTTTTGAAGATATACCAATACCTACACGGGTACAATGAGAAAGAGCAATGCTTTAAGTACGAGGTGCTTATCGTAGGTAAAGGGTGTTTTTTTAAGCCCGATAGAATTTTAAACTTGAATAAATAATACAAAAAACAGCTTTTGATAAAAAAATCTATTTTTTTGCGCGATCGGTCATTTCTGACTATTTACCATGGGTGTTTCCATGACAGTACGTAGAATTTACCAGTTGCTATGATTACGACGACGCCAAAATTACTTACCGATCTAAAAACAGAACAGCAAAAATACTTACCGACGCCTTTTAAAAAATCAACAGTCTTACATTACATTTAATCTTTAATTATTGTTAGGTACATTAAACGTACAATTTGTGCTGTTGTTTCCTATAGCAAGACGCTCATAAAGTCATAAAGGAAGTGCAAAGCTAGTAAACTACATCAGACACATGCACATTTTTATGAAATTATTAATTTCAATTTTGACAAATAAACTGGTTACCTAGTGATGTACACCATACCACTTCGATCATTTCGATTTATTCTGCTCGTTAATTTCTTAGTGCATATTTATATTGGTTGAATAATTTTAATTTCGATCGCGCAAAAAATGTTATAAGCACGTCGAACGTTAAGGGTTACCGTTCTCAGACAATAATTGGAGTCGTCGCTTCGCTCCTCCTCCAAACAATTGTCTTCGAACGGTAAAAATCCCTTACCGTTCTCCATACTTAATATACATAGCGATCAAAAATGAGTGACCGTCGAGTCACCTTTGGAATTTTTGTTTACATGGGAAATCGTACTTAATAACTTAACTCGAACTTCCAAAGGCGACTCGAAAGTCACTCATTTTTGATCGCCCGATACTATTATTGGAAAGATTAAAATATGACGTTAATATTAAAAATTATTTGAGGCATATGGTCACCGCGGCTGTCTCTGACGAAGCGAATTCTGTCAGTCCAATTTCGGGTCACTTTTACGAACATTGGTGCCATTATGTTATTAATCACACGAACAATGTTGGCTTCCAAGGCGTGCAGAGGGTTGCTGGTTTATCAGCAAAAACCAATGACTTTACGTAGCCCCATAGGAAATATCGCGTCAAATCGCAGAACCTGAGTGGCCACTTGACATGTCCATTTCTTGAAATCAACTAGCAACTGCTCTAAAGTCCAATCCGCGAAAGAACGCCGCAATCGATAGTCTTGTGGCTTTAATTTCTACACCAACTGTATCTTATATGGCTGTAGCCCAAGATCTTTGTGCAAAATTTTCCATGTAGTGGATGGACAAAGCCCTACCTGCTGAGACCGACGACGAATAGACAGTTTTGGATTTTCTTGCACACTTTCATTTACAGCGGCAATATTCTCTTCAGTGCGCACATTTCATCGACATATTGGTGTTACTGTATCCTTTAGAGAAAAGGTGGTACGAATCTTTCCACAGTCCGACGAATGGCTATAGTTCAGATGGACGATTATGTGTGCCGTAAAATTCACGAAGGCGTCTATACGTTTTGCGAATCAATGACTGATTTTCAAAGTAAATGTGAATAATTTGATAGCGTTGTTCAAGAATGAGTCTCTTCATGATGATTTGTCACACTATACTAAATTTAAATGTCACTAATAATGAGCAAACTGACACCTGATTTCACAGCCATCGCGATGGAAAGTTCTATCATGCTTAAAAAAACACCCGTTACATATATGACCTTGGAAAACTGAAACTATCCAGCGCCAGGATATGAGGATACTTACGTTATTGGCGCCGGGTTCGGTAAAGAACGTGTCATAAACAATGCTTACTGTGTACACCAAATGGTAAACAAACGTGCAAAATAGCGAAACAAACATAAACAAAGATAAACAAACGTTTAACACTAACATATTATCCTTTTTCTACAACTGTCAAAAAAACCTGTCATTTTCTGACGAATTTCGAAACACGAAGTACTAGATTTTTAAACGGTTAATTAATAAGTGAGGTTGCTATTGACAATGTGCGCGAAACCGTCAACAATGAAAAAAAGTATTTCGCGCACATGACAAAGTTGAACTTAAAAGCAAATTTAATTAATAATCGGTTCAGTTGTAAAAAAAATATTGTATATATACGTTCGCTAGCGCGAAGTTATTTCGCGCATTTGAATGATATTTTGACTCGGCGTCGCCTCGTCAAAATACCTTCAGTCTCAATGCGCGAAATTGAACTTCGCGCTCTTGTTATATAAATAACTATTTTCTATCGGGGGTTTGGTTACCGCGAAGCTGGCCAGACTCAAACGGCATATTGAAAAACCGTACACCAAATAGCAAACAAACATCGAGAATAGCGAAACAAACGTAGACAAACGATTAACATACTCAAAAGTTCGTATTTCTATTTAGGTCCGGCTAACTTCACAGACGTAGGAAGGTCTATAGAGTCAGCCCGGCACTACTTCATGCAGACATGAACATCGAAAAAAACAAAAAATATACAGGGTGTTCTATTAAAAAAATGAGTTGTCTATTGACACCGAAAAAATGTGACACCCTGTACACTCAAAAATAATTCCTGTAGATGCGCGACCATTTATGGTTGACATTTGCTCAAAAGGTTTTTTGATATTTTTTACCAGCTATGAGCTAGAAAAGACCAACGCACTGTCGCAGGACCCTGTATGCCAACGCTTCCGACTTTTGCGTTGGAGCAGTCAATAACGAGTTACAACCATTTGGATTTTACAACCAAGCGTTCACCGAAATGCAACGTCGTTACTCCGCATAATATGATCGCGACCTTACCGCCATATAGGTACCGAACGTATTGCCTCTCGCAAGCGATACTTAGATGATGATAAATAAAAGAATCGTTCAATGCAAGAATATTATTTATTACCATAGCAACTGGTGTATGACAATTTAACATTATCAAACGTTTAAATGTAATTAATTGAAGATGGGATTTTGCTTTGTGCGCCTTAGCCAGATGGCATCTGAAATGGAAGGTACATTACAGTTGCCATCTTTTTTTTTTACTAAAAATGTTCTACGTACAGGTCGTAGTTGCGTTAAGTAACATCTCTGCAATATCAGGGAAGCCTTCAATTATTGCCACCTGCAGAGCAGTGTTGCCATCCTCATTCAGCGCGGCAAGGTCGGAGCCCTTTTCAACCAATACGGAGACGGCGTCCTTATTTCCGTGGATCACAGCCATGTGAAGCGCGGTGTACTTCTTTTTGTTTACTGCTTTGACATTCGGATTCCTAGTAAATATTAATTGAACCATCTTCGGATCCTTAACGGTCGTGGCGACATGCAAAGGTGTGTTTCCTTCCATAGTGGTTGAGTTAATCTTTGCGTTTTTATCGAGAAGGGTCTGCGTGAGTTGCAGATTTCCTTGGGCGACGGCGGTATATAGCGGAGTGACGCCATCTTTTTTAGCGTGGTTGACATTTGCTCCATGGTCGATAAGATTTGAGGTTATGTTTAAGTTGTTATTTCCAACCGCCATTATGAGCGGTGAATTTCCTTCTTTGTTGTGAACTTCTACAGACGCGTTGGCCCTGATAAGTACGTCTACGGTCTCGGTGTTGTTGTATAGTGTGGCGATGTGGATTGGGTAATTGCCATCTTTATCTCTTGCGCTAATGTTCGCACCGTATTCGATCAGGTGTTCGGTTAAGTTGACGAAACCAGCTTTGGCGGCAATGTGAAGAGCGGTGTCTCCTCTCTTGTTGACTGAATTGATTATCGCCAAGCTTTCATTACAGTACTCTGGATATTCGGGGAGGTTTCCTTTTGGAGCTGGGTTTGGAGCTGGACCTTGAGTTTTACCTGGATCTGTGGCTGTAATTAAAGTTTTACTATTAGTAAGGACGAATAGATTAATTTCTAATTATCAATTTGCCCTTCATGATAATTGAAGTGGATTAGATTTTCGAACAAAAGGACGGAAAGGTATTAGAATGAAACAGTAGCTTATCCAAGAGTGGATTTGTAACTGTTCAGATGAAACGCAGACAAAAAGCGAGCAGACTTTCAGTACAAATCACTTCCATCATTGAACAATTGAGCAACTAACATAATCAGTAATCACCAAATTAGTGTTGCGTGCAGAACATTTGCAATTCTGCGTCCAAATCCATTCTTGATTTGTCAAAATCATAGTCACAGTTGACTTCGGAAAATCACGTAAATCTTCGCAAATAAAAGTAAATTCTACTTACCCGGGCCTTTGGGGGTGTCTGCGAGGATGGAGGTAGCGCAAAATACAACAAGTAACAACCGTAGCATCTTGTCAACTTGACTTCAATGGCAAATTGGTAGCTTTATATACACCTCCATTGCACCTTAATCCCTTCAATCTCGAGTGCTGGGGATCACTAATTTGGAAAGAATGATAAGTATAGGGATTATGTCAAACAATTTGATGAAGTGTTCTGTCTTGCTAATACTGAGATCAGCTTTCGCAATTTTTTTTATCTGACGATTCTTCGTTCCATTCCAAAACACTTATCAATGCACCAAGCTCGCATTACCGCCAGTGTTGGGTAAGATCCTTTAATTGTAGATCTAGATGCAGATCCAGATACATTTAAAAATTGTGATCTAGATCCAGATCAAAGATCCAAACTTAAGAAAGGATCTAGATCAAGATCCAAGATCCTCCCAAAATGATCTAGATCGTTTATAGATCCTTCATGATTTACATGGATGGATTTGTGTTTTGATTCATTCGGAAAATGCTTAGGTATCTCATTCTGTGTACCCCCTTCTCAGGTTTTACTTTTATCTATATGCAAAATTCGCAAAACACCAAAAAAATAAAATAGTCCTTCTTTGAAAATTATAATAACCGCCTTATTACATCCTTCACATAACATGTGTAAATTATATTGCACTTCGGTTTTCGTGCTTTGAGGTCAAAGCATGTTATCCCTTTTTTCTTCTAATGCTGGCAGACTAATCCTCTACCTGTAACCGCCGCAAAATACACGAATTGAGAAATTTCAGGAAAAGGGAGGTATTAGGGTTTCTAGGTGCATAAATGAATTTGCATAAATACCAAGAAAGTCTTGGATTTGACGTTTACTTACAGCCCAAAATGTCGCCAGTTGCAGAACTGAATTTCTTGTCGCAAAAATGACATTACAAATCTCCCAATTTGCGACATACCGGCCAATCTGATTCTAAATCTGCTTAGGGAATCACTACTAGACCCAGATAAAAGATCAGCACTTAAAAAGGATCTAGATCCAGATCTAAGATCCATTGGATCTAGATACTACTCAACACCAACCCAACACTGATTACCGCAATGTATTTGTAAATTATCGAGTTAGTAGATGTGTGTAAAAAACTGTCAATAAATATTAAGCTTCAGTCTTGTATCCTTTTTGTAAGTATAAGCTTGTAGAAAGAAATATTGTGGTTGGTTAAACTCTTTATTTCTAAAAGAATAGTATTGAAATTTCCTCTTTTACTCTACAAGACCAGAAAAAGAAATAGCAGCGATGAATGACGAATGGAATCTGCTGCAGTTGCTACGCAACATGCTACTTTATTGGAAATCTGTGGCTCAAATATGGTATGCTTCACAGAATAATTCCTACCCTTGAATATGGGTCATCATCTTGAAGCATTACCTGGGTCAGACTTGAATTGACTCGTGTACCGAACCTGATCTGCAAACCCTCTTTTTTAAAAAAGAAACTCAAGATGCCGTTTTCGAAACTTGCACGCATTGTTACTACAGATCTGAGTTTCATCCCCTTATTCTCCGGAAACAGTACAACATTTAAAAGGGTCGTAGGCAAAAATACAATTTGGCACAAATAAGATGACCATTAAAAATATGTCAAATTGGATTATTGTCAAGTATTGTCCATTGACGGGTCAGGAGATAAAATCTTAGAAGCTAGAAGCAGATACTATCGCAATATGGAGGTAGTTCAAATGACAATCAAGAGTGAGGTTACTGTTGTATATTAATAGCAATTAGTAGTGGGATGTGAAATATAGTTACTATGGTTTTTATGTTCAATAATAATTAAATAAAATCTGTCATATATAAAAAGAGGTGTATGTCTCGTGTTCTTTCCAATTTTTAAGGGTATTAAATTTAGAAATTTCGAAAAATCCTCGAACACGTCAATTTTGTATTCGAGGGGGACAACGTTTGGAATACAAATCACGAACCCAAGTTTTCACCCCTCTACGTAGGGAGCTTAACCCCTAAAATTTTAAATGGAATCCTATGGCAAATGGCACGTTATTTGAAAGCCAATTTAATCGTGATTATTAATCTGCTTTGCTTTTTAAATTCTATTGATTCGTTCCGGAGATATTTGCATTTGAAATGTTTTTTTCTAAAAAAACCAAAACAAATGCGATCTAAGTCACCTTGTATTAAAAAAAGTTTAAATTGTGCAAAAAATAACAAATAACTTTAAACACACAACATTTATTTCAATAAATTAAACAAATATAGCAAACGAGCTCCTGGGTATGGCTATAGCATGTGCAAAACCAAATTTTAAACTTGATGTTAGTTTTGCTTTTATTTAAAGTGTATATGTATGAAATTTTATTTGAATGCCTCCACAAATAAGCTGCGCATTCGCAAGACCAAATTTTGAAACTGATGTTAAATTTTCTTTTATTCCAAGTGGTTATGTACCAAATTTTATTTAAATACCCCTATAAATCAGAAAGTTGGCACTGCGCATGCGCAAAACGAAATTTTGAAACTGGCGTAAAATTTGGTTTTATTCCAAGTGCCTATGTATCAAATTTTATTTAATTGCCTCCATAAATAAGAAAGTTGGCACTGCGCATGCGCAAAACCAAATTTTGAAACTGGCGTTAAATTTGCTTTTATTCCAAGTGGCTATGTATCAAATTTCATTTAAATACCTTCATAAATAAGGAAGTTTGCAATTCGGTCTGTAAATGGTCGAGATGCGTAAAGGGCACTGTGAATGCTGATCGATTAGGTTCAACTTTTGGAATTGTGTTTTATATGGCTAAAGCTATGCGCATATTGAATTTGATGCAATTCGATTCATAACTAACTGAGATGTCAAAAGGGCCTACTTTATTTTTTGGGCTACATTGCCAATTCACGAACTCCGATCTACAAATTTGATAAAGAATCCACCTGCAAAATTTCATCGTAATCGGTCCATTCGTTTATGAGTTATCGTGCTAACGGACGGACAGACACAACAAAATTATAAACTCGCTAGGAGCTCGTTAATACATGCTCGAATTGCCTTCCGCCTGCTTCCATGCAATAATAAAGATTTGCTTCAAAACGCTGCCGTACATGTTGCAAGATTTCAGGGGTAATCGCTCAAAATTGTTGAGTCATACCATAGTGTATTCTATTCTTACACTATGGTTATACTTGCTCGCAACCCTTGTAATGTTCCGGGCGGAGTAGCATAAACTTTATTCTTTAAATATCCCCACAAGAAGTAATCTAAAGGACTTAAATCAGGGGAAAAAACCATTTTAAATGCGAATATCTCCGAAACGAATCAATAGAATTTAAAAAGCAAAGCAGATTAGTAATCTCGATTAAATTGGCTTTCAAATAATGTGCCATTTGCCATAGGATTCCATTTAAAATTTTAGGGGTTAAGCTCCCTCCCTACGTAGAGGGGTGAAACTTGGGTTCGTGATTTGTATTCCAAAAGTTGTCCCCCTCGAATACAAAATTGACGTGTTCGAGGATTTTTCGAAATTTCTAAATTTAATACCCTAAAAGCCCTCTGTATACTTCTCGTTGGGCCACTCTGTATATTAGGTACCCTTCAACTTAATAAAAGGTCACTAAGGTGACTTCAACATTAATTTTTGCGTGTTGCGTGTACCTACGCAAGTCTAAAATGTTTGGAAAGCTTCATTTCCAAGAAAACAACCCGGTCAGTTTGCAAAAATCCTATAGGTTCTAATTTACACTAAATGTTGGTAATTTGAATAACATTCGGGTGACATTGATGGCATCTTAGATCATGTTTATATGATCTAAGGATGGCATTGTAGCATGGATTAAGAGCTAAGTACTTCACATCCGCTGAATGCAAAAATCGATATTATTACAGGTACACCTGATTGAACGAATCCCTGGATTACGGATAAGATTATTCATATAATCCACCTTCGATATAAGTTGAAACATTCCAAACACGTAATACGCCATTTTAATGCAAAATAAAAAATTGCAAAGGTTTAATGGGACGTTTACCTTAGTTATGTTATTTATATATTCATTACTGCTTGAAACCAATATAGCCAACAAGCGATAAACACAGACGGAGGGACAGCAAGTCCAAATGACCATAATTTAAACAGTTAGTCCCATGACCATTGTACCACAGACAATGTCATGATATACAGAATTGGAACATTCGAAACAGTTCGCGGATTATCGTGTACACAGACGGGCGGACGGACAGAAAAAAAAATGCAAAACCATGAACGAGCTTAGTAATTATTAATAATAATTATAATAATAGGCATTTATTGAGCTAAACATGATATTAACTACCTACATATTCTAATGAATAACAAAAAGCAGGTTAGCTCAAAGGGGCGAAAGTTCAGACTGGTGGGCACCCAAGAGTGTACCACACTGTCTGTTAAGGTGTTTAGTGTTTACTAAAATGATTTGTTATTAACGGGCGACCCAATTGGCAGGGTTTGGGGACCATTCCCGTAGGCTGTCTTGTGGCCGTACATTGCCCTGATAAAACCTATGCTGTAATGTTCGTACCTCGACTTTCCATATATTTAATTAACTACAGTGTTATTACATGCTGCCTGGTCACAGGTTAAACATCTTCTTACGTCTACCTTAATTCTAAATTCTCTAACCCACTTTACACACATACTTTCCTAGGACGCAATCATTCTGTCAGCATTCTTACCCAATATAATAGTACTTAATATTACTTAAATTAGGTTGCAATATATACAGTGTGATTACCTTACATCTAATCATATTGAAAAAATAAGTGGCCTCTGAACTCTCTACTCAGTAGTAGTGTTTACGAATTGCCATATTGTGCTTCCCGCTTATGTGGTGGCCATGCGTTCGTCCAAAAAAATCAAAACGGTGCCACATTTTTACACAAGAACAAATTTGCGGCAAAAATCGTTCTAATTACTGGTACAGTCGTATTCCGCCTAGGGGTTTAGCTAAAAATTGGCTACTATTTGATACCTTCATAAAAAAATTTCTTGAAGCATCCTAATAGAATGAAAAAGGTTTTAGAAGTCAACAATTATTTCCAATGTACCTACAATAAATAGGCATTTAGTGCACTTTTCGTCTTGGGAGTTATGTGACATTATGATTCACAAATCAACAGCATTCATGAACATTAGCTAATTATATCGTAATTTATCTAAGCCATATCATTAGGGACGGCGTAACAATGTGCAAGGATAATGCCAGGTAGTTTCTTTTGTTTTTCCTTTCAAGTAATGAGTTGTCGCCTCAGGAGTTATAGTGCAATTTGAAATGCCTATCCTTACGTTATCGTTTTGATTTTTTTCTGAAGATCGCGATACATATTTTTAAAAATATATGCATTATCATAACAGGTCGAAATAATATCTTTAAGTACCGCCGTAGGAAATACTGTCGGATTTCCAAATTCGTTCTGTACGTTTTTCTACTCCCATTACAATGGCTGTTATTTACGAAAAACGATTTTTCTATTCATCAATCTTCCTAAAAAACTAATACTGATATTTCAACTTTTTTAAGTACCGCCGTTCTTTTCATCATTGCAAAGAATATAGCCTGGTCAAAGTACACAAAATATTCGTAAAATGCAGCAAAAAGTAAAAACCTTTTGGAAATTCAAATTTAGGTAGTTAAAAGGATTGTGCTTAATATGAGAAAATCTTTACCAATTTAGGTAAGCAATTTTCCGGAAGAACTTTGGTCGAAAATTTTGTTATTTGTTTTTTCACTCTAATTGTTTAAATAATGAAAATACAGAAAAATGTTTAAATCAAAAATTATAGACAATGCATTTACTTACAAAATTTGTCTGAAAAGTTTTCTGATATCTTCATTAGTTTTTGAAATATACCAAATTTTCCTGAGAGTATTTTTAAACATCATAAATTTTCAAGTTTTTAATTTTAAGATAGTAAATAAACAATGACAGGTAGAAACGTAGAGTTTTCATTTATTTATCATATAGAAATCAATCAGTATCATTCGTCTTCCAAGCTCAAATATAACTCAATATCATTTTCATCTTCACTGAACTTATCCTCAAAATGTGAACCTTGAGTGTCTTGATTATCAACATTTATAGTTGTTTGATCGTCGAAGTCATCATTATCTTCATCTTCGTCAATATCTACGTTGTGTTTTTCTAAATTAGCACTGAAAATAGTTGTTAGATTTTCTAAAAGACGTCTGATATAAATAATTGTCTATTATTTAAAAAATTTGTTATTTACAGAAGAATTGTATTAAGTTTTGAAAGTATATACTTCAAAGTATTTACAGATAAAGTTTCATTGAAATATATTAACTTTGTCAGTTTTTTCAGTGCATCACAATCTTCAAATTATTAACTTTTAAAACAAGTCTTTAATCAATTCGGCTCACGGGACGTTCGCGCCCACCCACGAATCAACTTCCGCTGAAATCAATTATATCTCGTACACTTGTCAATTTACAGAAAAACTTTACAGACAAATTTTGGCGATAAATGCATCAGCTACAAACTTTAATTGAAACTTTTTTCCGTATATTTTATATTTAAACAATAAATTACAGTGGAAAAACGAAAACAAAATTTTTCACTCGACGATTTTTCGGAAAATTGCATACCTATCTTCGTAAAGAATTTTTCATATTAAGCACGACCCTTTTGAATACTCAAATTTGAAATTTCAAGAGGTTTTTATTTTTTGTGAAGCTATGTGTACTTTGACCACGCTAATACTCATTATCGAGAATTTGTTAGACTGCAACTGCAAAAGCAGCATTTCATAAGAACGTTTAGCTATTATCTCCAATATGGCGGATTGACTACAGAGGAGCCTTAAAAGCCATCTGGGATTGGTAGTAAAAAAGACACTAACGAATCGCTATTTTGAGAGATAATCAGCCATTGCAGGCGTTCAAAACATTGCGATCGAGCTAAGAGGGGGAATGCTATTCTGAGAACTTGATTCGCGTATTGGTCGTTGGGGAAAACACAAATTGTTGGCGAAGAAGGGAATCATAATTTCGTGTACAGAAACTTTAGACGGTCAACTAATGTGCATCAGATTTGGGCAACTAATATTTTGGCCGAATTATTTGTTATCAATGCCACTAAGCCATTCGCCCGTGGCTCTGTCCCCGTCCATCCAGTTAAAGTAGTGTACCTACCTACCCTTACCTACACGCGTCTAAATTTGTTTCATATAGTCGTTTAAATCTGGGACACGTTATTTTTTCCGGATTTCTTATAGGGCCGTCAATAATGTGTTTTTGACACCCTTTTGAATAATGGCTATATCTAATTACAAAGTTATTTGCTTGTATTCCACCAAGAATATGGGGAAACCCCATTGTTAACCCAAAGATGCAAAAATTCCCCCGCATAAAAGGGGACTACTTTTCTTAGAAACGCGCAGATTAAAAGAGCAATGTCAAGTTTGTATAAAACACTGTAGCTGACCCGATTTCATTCATTATCCGTGAACCTTTTTAGCATTCCAATAAAAGCGATAAAAGTGCCACGATAAGCATGAGATAAGTCGTTTGTTGTTAAAAGATGTGTCTTGTGCTGTTATTCATTTTGGTCGCACTTTGCACTAACATAAATGGCGAAGGGATACCCAGTTACAAAATTGGTGAGTGTTTGAAATTAAATTGAATCCCGTGAAGCAAGTGTTCTCAGATAATTCATAATTCCTCAACGACGAAGAATCAATGTTAATGAACCACTAATTGTGCAAAAAACTTCGGAGAAGGTCATATTAAGCCGGCTACGGACTATGCATGAATTCGCGAAATCAATTCGTAAACTGCGCGATGCGTGTATGAACATTAATTAGCAAACGCTTACTGAAATACAATGTGTTGGATTTGCTGGTACGCACAAATGTTCGTGCACTACGACGAACGTGGATAAACCAGGCATCACGCCTAGTCTGTATGCTCTGTTTGCGAATTACTGCGACCTACAACGAACTGAAAGAATCACGCATCGCGAATCGCAAATACACCCACAGTCTGTAGCCAGCTTTATAATAAGTGAATGAAGTTGTCGGCATCACAGGCTGATGCATTCTGCACTTATTTTAAAAACGTGCAACATTCTTTTTATACTCTTCACATTCAACCTTTACAAACGTATTTAACTTGTCCAATCATTTTTCGTTTTAATTAACTATACATGCTCCTGTCCTGTAAATTCCAAAATAAAACTAATGACGTAATTCGAAAAACGTACCGAAAAATTCGAAGGAGATAAAGAGAAAACATTAGAATTAGAAACATTTCAGCGAGTGTACAAAAATCCAAAGTTGTTTTCTTGTGGAAGACAGAAACACAAAAAAAATCAGATTGAAGGCAACCCAAGGGAATTTAAAATAAGTACAGAAATTAATAAACTCAGAAAATCGAAAACTCAAAATATCCAAGCATATTGTAGCATATGTAACGAATTATTACAAACTTTCCTTTTCTCCCTCTTGTTTTGGTTGATAAACTCGGGGATGATTTTTAAGATGTAGTCATATTGAAGTGCCGCGGCTGCTCGTCGGTTAACAATCTTCTTCCGGCCTCTAGTGTAAGGGGTAAAGGATAAATAATAAACCCAATAAAGGTTAACGGTTATTATTTTATTATCGCCTTTACTGTAAGAGAACACATTCTATTATGTTATCAAAAATCTCTAAACCTTCCCCATATAGTTTTATTCGTTGAAGTTTTTTAAAAAATAACAGCGACTATAGTTTCGGCGTACTGCCATCATCAGGCGACTAGAAGTGTATCACAATATAGCAAATTTGAAAACATTAAGAGCTAGTACTTACTGTGAAAGTTAACAGGAAAACGGTAAATTACAAACGTTGAAGACGAATAAGACGAACATGTTGTTTTTTTAATTATTAACTGGCCGAAGCCAAGTGAAAAAACCTGAAGGGTGGTTAAAACGGAAAGGTTGTCCTAAGTTTCAAGACGAATTATTATCAAGCCTTGTTAAGACAACCAACCGGAGGGTTGTTTTAATTATTAACTGGCCGAAGCCAAGTGAAAAAACCTGAAGGGTGGTTAAAACGGAAAGGTTGTCCTAAGTTTCAAGACGAATTATTATCAAGCCTTGTTAAGACAACCAACCGGAGGGTTGTTTTAATTATTAACTGGCCGAAGCCAAGTGAAAAAACCTGAAGGGTGGTTAAAACGGAAAGGTTGTCCTAAGTTTCAAGACGAATTATTATCAAGCCTTGTTAAGACAACCAACCGGAGGGTTGTTTAATTATTAACTGGCCGAAGCCAAGTGAAAAAACCTGAAGGGTATGGTTAAAACGGAAAGGTTGTCCTAAGTTTCAAGACGAATAATTATCAAGCCTTGTTACATGTTCGTCTTATTCGTCTTCAACGTTTGTAATTTACCGTTTTCCTGTTAACTTTCACAGTAAGTACTAGCTCTTAATGTTTTCAAATTTGCTATATTGTGATACACTTCTAGTCGCCTGATGATGGCAGTACGCCGAAACTATAGTCGCTGTTATTTTTAAAAAACTTCAACGAATAAAACTATATGGGGAAGGTTTAGAGATTTTTGATAACATAATATATTTCAACCCCCATTTCGAGGAACGATGGATCCAACTCAAAAAAAAAAAAAAAGAACACATTCTATTAAATGGGGTTGAGGCGAAATGATAAGGTAAATGGTTAAACCACATTCACTCGCAAAATCATACTTCGCATTGGTAGGAAAAATTCAAACTTTATTGATAATCATATGTCAATACTAACTAACAAATGAATCACTGCTAGGTGCTAAAAGAAAAACTGATAATTTTACAATTTTCTCCTGATACTGGATTCTCGATGTAATTTTCTAAATATCGCCAGGAAGACGATGCGCTCGATAACGCACTATTAGACCGGGGCGCAGCGTACATAGTAACTAAACCATAAGCGACAAAATGTTCGACAATACAGGCTGAAAGTACGTTGAAAACTAACAATAAAATCACTCGTCTGCCAGTCGTAAGTGGCAGCATTGACTTGGGGCGGCGCTGAAAAGGTGACTTCCTTAGGTGATCAACTAAATTACCAAACTATAAGGGTCACGGAAGAGATTAGTATCAAGAAATCCCATTTTTTCCATAGTTTTCAAATATGCTATAGCAGACGATTTCAAGTGCAGCGTTGGTAGCGAAAGACGCCCTTCAATGTAGGGAAAAACACCCCTGAAATAAACCATGAGGACCGTGTAAAAATTATACATAAAAAAATTCCTCTTTTTGTCACTACTTTAAAATATGATCCTGGCAGAGCGTATATGCCTAGGGGAGTGATAGGACTTTAAATAGTGGAAGCCTGTACGTCTTAGAAGTTAAAAAATAACGTTAGTGTAACAGTAAATCCCATCTAGCGGTGCGAGCGTGTGCAGACGGGATAGAGATCGAGAGCTCCGCGAGAGCAGCTATAGAGCTTAGGTACTATAGCACCCTGTATATCCTGGCAGACGATGTTAAGTGTAGCTTTAATAGTGGCAGACGTTTTAGAAGTTAAAAAATTTAGGTAAATTCCAGCGAGTGCGAGCATGTTTGAGATAAGCGCGCTAGAGCATAACGAACAGAGATAGCTATAGATTTATGCACCGCTTGGAGTTACCAAACGAATTAAATTAGGGAAAATAATAAATTGTTTATTTCGCGATAAGATTGTCGATATTTCTTGAATTCTTTTCACACTGAGAAACAGAAAACCTGAAGAGAAAAGAAGGTAGACCTTCAGCTCGTTCTAAACTATCTTCTGACTCCAGTGCCGTTGTCTCTATGCAACATTGAGGGATCGATGATTAAAATAGACAAGTTTGTTTTGCTGAAACTTTTTCGGAAGTATGATTCTCCAAGTGCTCCTAGTCCATCGCCAGTTGTAGATGTTGTTTTAATCGATGGATTATTTTTTTTTCATCTTGTAAAAGATCTCCGGTAAACCTTTGAGCGATTTTCTGAACACACCCTCGTCAAGATTTGTGCTGTGTCAGCGAGAGAAGTACATCTTACTTTTGACAGATAGTTACCCCTTCCATGAAGGACGCAGAACATGATCGTTGGGATCAAAATAAGGAAAGATTACAATCCTACTCAATTTCTGGTTCCACTCAGAAGCAGCGTGCAAATTTCATAAAACCACTTCACAATGATAGCTCAAAGCCTCTCTTATAGATTACTCATACCGTTCATAGGCAAAAAAAGACCTGTTGTGCTTTACTTGGAAGGAAAGTTGTGTTTGCCACATATGAAGATAAGTGCTATAAATTTGTGACAAGAGAAGATGATGTGGTAAAAACTGCAGATTCTCGAATAATTTACCATCTTGGTAAACTACCAACAAGTAGCGAAGTCATTATTAGCGCTTCCGATATGAATATTGCTGTTATTGCTTTGGGAAATGTAAAATTGACGCTACCATCAAGGTATAGATGGAAGTAGGTCTCTTTTCCAATAACACGCAGAAATTCATAAATCTTCGAGAGATGTTCGTGAATTTGGGTGTTGATGTGTGTAACGCGCAGGGTAACGCGTTACCGGGTTCCCACGCATTTACCGGATGTATGACTTGTGTATGGTCCTCATGGTTTAGTTCAGCGCTATTTGGGCGAATGCCACCGAAAAATGTCTGACTTTCTACAATCCGTCTGATTGAAGTGGATGGATCTATGTGAATTAAATGAGAAGTTTAGAATCAAATGGTTTGAAAGATCTCAGTAGTCAGTATCGCTATCTCTGTTCGTTATGCTCTCGCGCGCTTATCTCTCACACGCTCGCACTCGCTGGGATTTACTATACCTAAATTTTTTAACTTTTAAGACGTCTGCCACTATTAAAGCTACACTTAATATCATCTGCCAGGATGTATTTTAAAGTAGTGACAAAAAGAGAGAATTTTTTATGTATAATTTTTATACGGTTCTCGTGGTTTAGTTCAGGGGTGTTTTTCCCTACATTGAAGGGCGTCTTTCGCTACCAACGCTGCACTCGAAATCGTCTGCCATACCATATTTGAAAACTATGGAAAAAATGGGATTTCTTGATACTAATCTTTTCCGTGACCCTTATAGTTTGGTAATTTAGTTGATCACCTAAAGAAGTCACCTATTCAGCGCCGCCCCAAGTTAATGCTGCCACTTACGACTGGCAGGCGAGTGATTTTATTGTTAGTTTTCAGCGTACTTTCAGCATGTATTGTCGAATTTTTTGTCGCTTATGGTTTAGTTACACTATGTACGCTGCCTCCCGGTCTATATTTGGAGGTGCGAAATAAACTAACGCAGTTCCCCGCCTGAGCTGCCCGTGGACACTCTCTTTACGAGCACGAATGTACTGGTATTTATACCCCCTCTCTTAGCATCTATTGTAATTACGTTCCGCCTATCTTACTACAACGAAACGCTTATAAGGTTTGCGCAGCTCTTGTACAAGCTTTTGTCCATTCGACTTCGGATTGAATAGACGCATTTGATATTGTGGATATTGTAACGGATTGTTACAAATTCTCCTTTTCTCCTACTTCTTCTGGTCGATTAAATTATCGGTAGTTCTTGTTGTGTAATTATATTGATATGCCACGGCGCTCGTCGGTCAATAAACCCTCTTTTGACCTCAAGGACAGGCGGTAAAAATGGGGGGTTGAGGCGAAACGATTGCTGAAAAGGTAAATGCTTAAATCACAAGTTACGATTTTGTTTATTTTGAAACAAAACTTCCATTTAGAATAGTGATCAATACATTCTACCAAGTATCGCGCCTTGTTTAACGGTTTGATACGCATCGGTCCACATTATTTATTACGTTTTTCATGTCTTTAAAGTTCATTGGCCTAAGCCATTCGATTTTTTTTCCCTTTAGCAGGAAACTCTGGAACTGGGTACATACAAAGGGTGAGTTTATTTAAGGGCAATTGTTTCAGATCCTGATCGTGAATATTTCTTGATTCGAGTTTTACGGTGGAGTTGAAATTTCTATTGAGACGGATGCTATCGCAAAAATGGAAGGAACCTCTGGAATTGAGTACATATGAAGCGTGAGTTTGCTTAAAAACAAATTCTTTGGGATTAAGCTCTCCTAAACGCTAATTTTCCTTGAATCATGCAAATCCCCGGTGGGCGATTATTCCGGCATAGGTGAATTTTCTTTGGGGCGAATCTTGTCGCAGAAACAGAAGGAACTCTGGAATTGAGTAGGTCTAAACTTGCATTGAAATTTGAAGTCAAAGATGTTTAGATCATTGAAATTTTACAGGGTCTCGAATTTAGAGGACCCATTTTCCAGTTAATGATTTGGTAGTGGAATTTAAAGACTAAATCCGTGATGGATTTAAAGATTGTCCGTCCTGTGTCGTATAATTTCTGTTTTATTAATGGATTCTGGATGTCGGGAATTTGGATCATTTTTAGTTATCCTATATAGGGGATGCGGTCACTCGGTAGAGCGGAAAATGCAAAATGAGGCAACCTGAAAAGCATGTGACATTTGAGTTATTACCTTAGCTTTTATTAAATTAGTAGGGAGGAACTAAGTCAACGAATTACAGATTAAAGATGGCCGTCTGCGTTAATAAGAAGACGTTTTGTAGACCTTAAATTAATCAGTAAGAAATTAAGGGGGGAGAGGGGTCATTCCGGGAGAGTTTTCGATTTATAGACACTTTTTCGTTGTGTGAAAAAGTACGTTGGAAGAGTTCAAGGTGATTGGACGTTTTTTTGTCAATGCAATATCTATGAAAAAACAAAGCCTTTTCAATTCAACATTATTGGTGTGGATTAATAGGGAAGCATTGATCGACGGCTATACAAATTGCACCCACATCCAATTCTAGCGAAATATCCATTTCACGGAGAAAACCGATTCAATTTTGTATGCGATGGAAACCCAAAGACTTCAGTGAACATTATTTTATGCTCAATTGCTTTTGAGATTGAGCTACCCTGAACGTGAATTCTTCGTGAATCAAGTAAGTTTCTCATGAACGATGTTTCCGGTACAGGTAAATTTTCCTTTGGGGAGAAAAGTTTCGCATAAATAGAAGGAGGAAATTAAGAATGTTTCTTGAATCAAGCAAGTTCCTGATGAGTGTGTTTTCCTTTTCCTGTAGAGGCGAATTTTCCTTTAGGGCAAAAATTATTAAAGAAATACAAAACCACTCTGCAATTGTGTACATACTAAGAGCAAGTGTTTTTTCAGATTGAGCTCTCTGGAGGAAAATTTAAAAGCGTGAATTTCTCTAGGGCCTAGAAGTTAATATTCTGAAAAATAAGGGATTGTTGAATAATTGTTTTGGCGGTACTTGACTGCGGGTTTTCTCTTTCTAGCATGTCCGTTAATCGGTTCGTATAGTTATGTGATGTCAACTGTCAATAAATGTCAAAAACACAACGGAGGAATTGTAGACAACGAGCGACAAAGTCACTTCTGGTTGACGAATATTGGCCAATTAATCAATTAGTTTCTTGGCCATTGTCTACCTAGTGCTAAAAACTGAATTGGAAAATTCGATACCGTTAGTGGGGTCCTCAGCCGGACGGAGTGACAGAAAGTCCAAAATCATGCACCCGCTTTTTGTCGTTCCTTAATAAATAGATATATTCCACCCGGCGATGTATCAGAAACGTCAAACTTAACGTTAAAGTTATCTGCCAAAGAACGTTATTTTACGTTATTTAGGAGCCTATTCTCTAACACGTAACGATGTCGTTACACAGCGGTTATCGTTCGGCAACGACTTTTTCTATTCTGTATGGCATATAACATATAACAGTGATACTGAATATAGCTGTCGTTCAAGATCAAAGGTTACCATTACTATATCGTTTGTTAACGACAATATACAGTATAGACCCGTATGGGTCAAATAACGTTTCCTGCACCTGCACGTTAAGTTTAACGTTAATGATACATCACAGGGCTGATTATGTGTCTTTGTGTTCAAACAAAGGAGATTTACGTTCTTCGAGGAAACCAAATACACACTGCCTCCAAGGCACTGACTGATTCAGTTACATTTGCGTAACCGAATTACCAATTTCAAATAGTAAACAAGATACTTGGCACTATGTTATCAGTTAAATCATTTATCTAAGCCAGGATACTTGCTTAATACTGCAATCTTGTATGATAGACGTGTTCTATCTTTTGACACTGATGTCTAATTTCGCAATTCACCAAAATACACCCTGTTGCAGGACCACACCACCGTTACCGGAGAACAACAAATGCCAGAGGCGATGCTCCACTTCACATATCAGCAAATCAAGCTCAGGGTGCTAAGGTGGCGTCTCTACTACAACGTGGTGCTGATGTCAACGTCGTAAATAAACTTTTAAATGCTCCGTTGCATTTAGCAGCGTGGAATGGTGATCTAAACATTATAAATATTCTAATAAGACACGGAGCCAACGTTAACGTTCAAAATGTCAACAAGGACACTCCACTTTATTTTGCAGCGTCAAGAGGTCACGATTCTGTGGTGAATGCCCTTTTGGCTGCTGGAGCGAATGCGGAAATTGAGAACAAAGACAAAAATACAGCGATAATTGGTGCCACTTGGCACGGCCACTACGGTGCAGTCTCCTCACTACTCAATCGTGGAGCAAATGTTAACGCTAAAAACAAAAACGGAGACAGTGCATTACACGTTGCAGCATCAAGAGGGTATGTGGACATTCTGCGACTGGTAATATCTAAAGGGGCCCAGCTTGAATCCAGAACTAATGTTGGCAACACAGCTCTGCATACAGCTACATGGCACGGGATCAGAGCGACAGTGGCGGTACTCCTAGATGCGAACGTAGACAAGTGTGCCAAAAACAACCAAGAGGATACGGCTCTACACATCGCGGTTGCTCGCGAATTTATCGAGATTATTAACCTGCTACTATCCAAAGGGACCAATCCGAACTGCCCAGGAAAAGATGGCAACACGCCTTTGCACTTGGCGATCACGCAGAACAGGCCAAATGTGATTTCCGCTCTCATTAACGGAGGTGCCAGTGTCGATGCTCAAAACCGCAACGCGGAAACACCATTACACGTGGCCGTTTTGAGGAATCTCCCAGACGTCATTCGACTATTTCGTTCAATTGGTGCCAATATTAACTCGTTAAACAAACGAAAGGAGACACCTCTCCACCTTGCTATTAAAGAAAACGCCCGAGACGTCGTGTCCGCATTGCTTGAGGCGGGGGCCAGTACCGAAACTAAGGATGTTGAGGGTAACACTCCATTGTATTCTGCGGCGTCGCGTGGTTTCGTCCACTTCATTAAATTGCTACACAAATACAAAACTAACATGGATACGGTAAATCGAAACCACGAAACCGCACTTCATCTCGCGACAATCAATGATCGATCGGATGTTGTGAGTGCGCTTCTCGAAGCCGGTGCGAGCGCTACCGCGAAAACTAAGACTGGCGACACACCCGTGCACTATGCGGCGTCAAGGGGAAGGTCGAACCTAATCAAGGTGTACTGCACCAATAAGGTCGATGTGAACATCGCGAATAAAGAAAAAAATACCCCTCTACATCTTGCCGTTGGAAATGACGACGTGGACGCCGTCAAAGTGTTGCTGAATTGTCGCGCTAGCAAAAACGCGAAAAACAGCAAATCGCAGACCCCACTCCATCTTGCCGCGGCTGAAGGTTTAGCTGGAGTTGTTACGGTTCTGTGTGAAGACAACCTGAGTGTTGATGAGGTGGATAGAGAGCGCAATACGCCTTTACACATCGCGGTGAAAAACGGAGAGGCGAGCGTAATAAAAGCGTTCAGCAAATGCAAGGTGAATAGAGACGCGAAAAACGGAAACGGAGAGACCGCGATGCACATTGCTGCCTCGCTGGGAATGCACGACGCGGTTGCGCTTCTGTGCGCTCAACGTGCGGACGTGAACGCGTACGATAAAAACAAGAACACCCCGTTGCACTTGGCAGCGCAAAACGGCGATTTTAATACCGCGCAAGCAATCGTAAAATGCGGCGGTCTTCTGGATGTCCGAAATAACGTCAAGGACACGCCGCTTCATCGTGCTGCATTGAACGGATTTGCAAATGTTATTAAGCTGTTGTGCGGAAAAGCTGATATTAACGCGCAGAACAACGTTAAAGAAACCCCTCTTCTTGTGGCCGTTAATTCGGGCAGCGAAGAAGCTATCAACGCCCTACTTGATTGTGGCGCAAATACGGGCGCAAAGAATGCCAACGGGGAGACAGCACTGCAGTTGGCGACATCCGCGGGGATGGTTGACGTAATAAAGACGCTGTGTGCCCGAAAAGTTGACAGAAACGCGTTGGACACTGCCGTTTCCATCGCAGCAGATAATGGGGATGATAAAACGATGAAAGTGCTGCTTGAGTGTGGCGCAAGGAAAGATGCAAGCAACGGGGATGGCGATACGCCATTGCACGTCGCCGCGGCGAATGGGTTCCCAAAACTTGTGAAAGTTCTATGCACTTTCCAGTTTAATGTTAACGCAGTAAACAAGGATGGTAATACGCCGCTTCACGTCGCAACTTTATTTGATAAACCCGAAGCTTTGGGCGCACTACTCGAATGCGGCGCTGCCAAGGAAGTGAGGAACGGTAATGGTGACACAGCGTTACACCTCGCCGCAGCACATGGTTTTCCCAAGGTTGTTAGATATTTATGCAATGGCAAGGCGGATGTAAATGCACTGAATAAGGATAAAAACACACCTCTTCATGTCGCATCGTTGTACGATAAACCAGAAGCCTTAACCGCACTGCTTGAGTGCGGTGCAGAGACAACTGGACTAAACGTTAACGGTGACACTGCTCTACACCTCGCCGCGGCTGAAGGATTTCCAAGAGTTGTAAAATCCTTATGCGATTACAAAGCGAATGTAAATGCCACGAACAAGGATAAAAACACACCTCTTCACGTCGCAGCCTTGTTTGATAAACCAGAAGTCCTAAAATCACTTTTGGAATGCAATGCGGCAAAGAATGCAAAAAACGTCAACGGTGACACAGCTCTACACCTCGCCGCCGCTGAAGGATTTCCGAAAGTGGTCAAAGGTTTGTGCGACTTCAAGGCAGAGTTGAATGCTGCGAACAAAGAGAAAAACACACCTCTTCACGTAGCAGCTTTATTCGATAAAGTGGACGCGTTAAACTCATTACTCGAGTGCGGGGCAAACAAAAACGCAAGAAACGTTAACGGTGACACACCGCTGCACCTCGCCGCCGCACAAGGTTTTCCGAAGGTTATACAGACCCTGTGTCATTATAAGGCAGATATGAATCCCGTAAACAAAGATCAAAACACTCCCCTCCATCTGGCAGCGTTGTTCGGTAAAGCAGGCGCACTATCCGTACTGCTCGAATGCGGTGCAGACCAAGACGCGAAAAACGTCAACTTAGACGCTGCTCTCCATCTGGCCGCCGGGGAAGGATTTACGAAAGTTATCAAATCGTTAAGCGAGCATAAAGCAGATCTGAATGCTATAAACAAAGACAGAAACACGCCTCTTCACGTTGCAACTCTGTTCGGCAGAGTTGAAGCCGTAACAGCGTTACTAGAAGGCGGCGCAGACACTGAAGCGAGAAACATTAACGGCGAATCAGCGCTACACCACGCCGCTGCAAATGGATTTCCGAATATTGTCAAAGTCTTGAGCAAGTACCGCGCAAATGTCAACGCCGCAAATAAAAATCATAGTACTCCCCTTCACTATGCCATCAGAAATGGGGAGGAGAAGGCTGTGATCGCATTACTGGAACAAGGAGCTGATCAAAATGTGAGAGATTCTGAAAATAAAACACTGCTTGAGATAGCTAGTGAAAGTGGCAACGTTGAAATCTTAAGGACATTGTTACAAAATGGTGTAGGTGCTAACCAGGAAAGTATAGATGGGCGAGGAAATACCGCATTACACCAAGCAGCGGAGCGTGGGGCAACTGCAATGGTCAACGTTTTGCTTGATAACGGTGCCAACGCCGGTCTTCGAAACAAAGCAGGACGTACTGCTCTGGACATAGCCGTCACAAAGGGCAACGTGGACGTTGCCAATGCGCTTTTGTCGCGTCGATCTTCGATTGACAGTACGGATAAGGACAACAATACACCGTTGCACACCGCGTCATGGCACGGAGCAACTGAAATAGTTGAAGCTTTACTCGATAAGGGCGCGAATGCAAACTGCTGAGAAACAAATAACATCAAGCGGGCGTGGACACGGATATAGTTGCCCCTCTTGCTGTCGAAAAGCTGCATCATCCAAGAGGGCAGTGTGGCATGCTGACAACGTTGCATTTGGCGGTTGATAAAAATGACATCGAAATGGTTAAACTACTCCTTCAGAAAAATGTAGACATTGAGATCACCAACAACAATAAAGATGCTCCCGCTTATTGTCGCAACCTCACGTGGACACTTGGACATTGTTTATCTTTTAATAGAGACTGGTGCTAATAGGAACGTGAAGAACAAAGATGGGAACACACCGCTTCATTTGGCCGTCAATACAAATAATTCAGAAATGGTCAAACTGCTTATAGCCAAAGAAGTGGATCTGGAAATTCGGAATAACATCCAAGATACTCCAATAATTTGGGCAGTGTTACACCCCTCTTGATATAGCCGTCTCCAAGGGGCATCTGGATGTTGTCAAAGCGCTCTTGACACGGGGATCTTCGGTTAACAGTTTGGATAAGGACAACAATACACCGTTGCACACCGCGTCATGGCACGGAGCAACTGAAATAGTTGAATTTTACTCGATAAGGGTGCGAATGCAAACTGAGAAACAATCTCGCGAATGAGCAAAATAACACCGCTTTGCACCACGCCGCGTGGAATGGAGCAGTGGAGGCAGTCAAAGTGCATTTTGGATCACGGCGCAAATTCAAGCCTTAGAAACATCGCTGGAGAATCTCCATTGGATATGGCAGTGGTAAGGGGTCACCCACACGCTGTGAAGGCTTTGTTGGAAAGTGGAGCTGTAGTGAACCTTGCAAACGACCAAAACAACACAGCGCTACATCACGCAGCGTGGAATGGTGCTCCTGATGAAATAATTAAAGCTCTGCTCGAAGGGGGCGCGAATGCGAGTCTGCGAAACAGTGGGGGAGCAACCCCGCTGGATATTGCTGTTTTACGAGGGCACGTCGACGTTGTAAAATCGCTGTTGGGACACGGAGCACCAGTCAATCTCGCGAATGAGCAAAATAACACCGCTTTGCACCACGCCGCGTGGCATGGGGCAGTTGAGGTAGTCAAAGTGCTTTTGGATCACGGCGCAAATTCAAGCCTTAGAAACATCGCTGGAGAATCTCCATTGGATATGACCGTGGTAAGGGGGCACCCACACGTTGTGAAGGCTTTGTTGGAACATGGAGCTACAGTGAACCTTGCGAACGACCAACAAAGCACAGCGCTACATCACGCGGCGTGGAATGGTGCGTCTGATGAAACACTTAAAGTTCTTCTCGAGGGAGGCGCGAATATGGTTCTACGAAACGGTGGCGGAGCAACCCCGCTAGATATTGCCATCCTACGCGGTCATGGCGGCGTTGCAAAATCGCTATTAGATCACGGATCTGCAGTCAATCTCGCAAATAAAGAAGGTAACACTCCACTACATCTTGCAATTTTAGAAGGGCAGGATCACATCTTCGCTGATTTACTAAATTTCGGTGCAGACGTCAACGCTCAAAATAAGGACGGAAATACGCCACTCCATACTGCAATTTCCCAGAACGATACTTTCGCAATTAAAGCTCTTCTGTCTAATGGGGCCGATGTAAACATTGAAAATAAGTTTGGAGATCGGGCTCTACATGTGGCGACGTTACTTAATCGTGGCGATTTAATTATTGATCTCGTAAACGGTGGAGCCGATATTAACGCGAAGAATGCTGATAATTTAACCGCTCTTGATATAGCATCTAAGAACCGATTTCAAGATATTGTTGATATACTACTTTCTCAAAGAGGAGTTATAGATTTAGTGGAAATTTACTGAAAAATTAACATTAATAAAGTAATGCTATCACTGACCTTATCATTGTTTTTTTCTACGCAATACGTAAAGTCCGATAGTAAAAAAAAGGGGAAACCCAATTGCAAAATGAAGATATAAACGAGTACGTATCTATAGTTCTCATTTGCATGTGTGTAGGTCTTACAAAATAAACCCAAGAATGGATTTAGCTCTGCTAGTAATGTTTATTGTGTTGTTTTCCGGTAATGTAGATCGAAGTATCTCTGCAGCAATTGGTGCGTATTGCGTGGTATAATTTAAAATTCCATGAGAATTTTCGGTTGTAGGTAGAGATTTTGAAAATAAGACACTGCTTGGGATAGCTAGTGAAAGTCGCAACGTTGAAGTCTTAAAGACATTGCTACAAAATGGCGTAGGTGTTAATCAGGAGAGTGTAGCTGTAGATGGGCGAGGAAATACGGCACTACACCAAGCAGCAGAGGGTGGGGCAACCGAAATAGTCAGAGTTTTACTGGATAACGGTGCAAATGCCGATATTAGAAACGAAGCAGGACTTACTGCTCTTGACATAGCCGTCACAAAGGGCAATGCAGATGTTGTCAAGGCGCTCTTGGTGCGTGGATCTTCGGTAGACAGTAGAGATAAGGACAACAATACATTGTTGTACATCGCCGCAAAACATGGTGCAACGGAAATCGTAGACATTTTGCTAGATAAGGGCGCGAATGCAAACATCAGAAACAATGCGGGTTACGCCCCTCTAGATGTAGCCGCTTCAAAGCGCCATGTGGACGTTGTCAAGACGCTTTTAGCGCATGGATCTTCGGTAGACAGTAGGGATGTGGACAACAATACAGCGTTGCACTTCGCCGCATGGTACGGAACAACCGAAATAGTCAACATTTTGCTCGATAAGGGTGCGAATGCAAACATCAGAAACATCGATGGTCACACCCCTCTTAATATGGCCGTCTCTAAAGGCAATATAGATGTTGTCAAGGCGTTCTTGGCGCATGGATCTTCAGTTGACAATAGGGATATGCACAACCATACAGCTTTGCACTTCGCCGCATGGCAAGGTGCAACGGAAATAGTCGAAACTTTGCTCGATAAGGGTGCGAATGCAAGCATCAGAGATAACGCGGGTTACACCCCTCTTGATATGGCCGTCTACAAGGGCCATTTGGATGTTGTCAAGACGCTGTTAGCCCGCGGATCTATGGTTGGCAATAGGGATAAAGACAACAATACAGCGTTGCATATCGCCGCATGGAACGCAGCAACGGAAATAGTCGACATTTTGCTCGACAAAGGTGCTAATGCAAATATCAGAAACAACGCCGGCCACATCCCTCTTGATATTGCCGCCACCAAGGGCCATGTGCAAGTTGTCAAAACGTTTTTGGCGCGTGGATCTGCAATTGACAATAGGGATATGCACAACCATACAGCTTTGCACTTCGCCGCATGGCAAGGTGCAACGGAAATAGTCAACATGTTGCTTGATAAGGGTGCGAATGCAAGCATCGAAGACAACGCGGGTCGCATACCTCTTGATGAAGCCATCTTCAAAGACCATGTGGATGTTGTCAAGGTGTTCTTGATGCGTGGATCTTCAGTTGACAGTAGGGATAAGGACAACAATACACCGTTGCACATCGCCTCATGGCAAGGTGCAACGGAAATAGTCGAAACTTTGCTCGATAAGGGTGCAAATGCAAGCATCAGAGATAACGCGGGTTACACCCCTCTTGATATAGCCGTCTCCATGGATCATCTGGACGTTTTCAAGGCGCTCTTAATACGTGGATCCTTAGTTAATAGTTTCGATAAGGACAACAATACACTGTTGCACGCCGCTTCATGGAACGGAGCAACTGAAATAGTTGGAGTTTTGCTCGATAAAGGTGCGAATGCAAGTATCAGAAACAACGGGGGTTATATCCCTCTTCATGTAGCCGTCTTCAAGGGCCATGTGGACGTCGTCAAGATGCTTTTATCGCGTGGATCTCCGGTTGACAGTAGGGATGCGGAAAACAATACAGCGTTGCACATCGCCGCATTGTACGGAGCAAAGGAAATGGTCGAAATCTTGCTCGACAAGGGTGCGAATGCAAGTACCAGAAACAACGCAGATCGCACGCCTTTTGATATGGCCGTCTCTAAGGGCGATGTGGCTGTTGTCAAGACGTTTTTGGCGACGAGTGGATATTCGGTTGACAGTAGGGATAAACGCAACATTACAGCGTTGCATATCGCCGCATGGCAAGGAACTACAGAAATAGTCGAAATTTTACTCAATAAGGGTGCAAATGTAAACAACAGAAACAATGTAGGAGACAGTCCGTTAATTATTGCAGTTTTAAGAGGTCATTTAAACGTTACAAAAATTCTATTAGAGCATGGGGCGTGCGTAAACTTTGCAGACAAACGTGAATACACCGCGCTTCATCACGCAGCGTGGAATGGAGCAGTTGATGAGGTCAAGGTGCTTTTGGATAACGGTGCAAATTCAAGTCTCAGGGACATGACTGGCTTCTCTCCATTGGATATAGCCGCCCTAAGGGCGGACGCGAACGTAGTAAAGGCTCTGTTGGAACGTGGAGCTGTAGTAGACCTTGCGAGCGATCAACACAATACCGCATTGCATTACGCCGCGTGGGTTGGGGGTTCTGATAAAATAGTTAAAGCTCTTCTCGAGAGAGGCGCAAGCACGAGTCTGCGAAACAGCGACGGAGCAACTCCGCTAGATGTCGCCATTCTAGGAGGAAACGGCGACGTTGCAAAATCGCTGTTACAGCACGGAGCTCCAGTCAATCTCGCCAATAAGGATGGTGATACTCCACTACATCTTGCAATTTTTGAAAGACAGGATCTCATCTTCGCTGATTTACTAAATTTTGGTGCAGACGTCAACGCTCAAAATAACTACGGAAATACGCCACTCCATACTGCAATTTCCCAGAACGATACTTTCGCAGTTGAAGCTCTTCTGTCTAAAGGGGCCGACGTGAACATTGAAAATAAATTTGGAGATCGAGCCCTACATGTGGCAACGTTACGTTCTCGTGGCGATTTGATTATCGATCTCGTAAACGGTGGAGCCGATCTTAACGCGAAGAATGCTGATAATTTAACCGCTCTTGATATAGCATCTAAGAAGCGATTCCAAAATATTGTTGATTTACTGCTCTCTCTGGGAGGAGTTACAGGTTTAGTGCAAATTTAATCAGCATTAGGCTAGATTCGATCAACATTAAATAAAGTAATGCTAACACTGACCTTATATTTGTTTTTTTTTACTGCAAACGCAAATTGCGATAGGAAAAAAGGGGGAAACCCCGTTGTAAAATGAAGATATAAGAGAAGCATCTAGTTAAACTTGTTCTCATTTGCATATGTGCAGCTCTCACAAAATAAACCCAAGAATGTATTTCACATTCCTAGTAATGTTTACTGTGTTGTTTTCCGATAACATAGGTCAAAGTGTCTCTGCAGCCATTGGTGCGTATTACGTTGTTTAATTTAAAATCCCAGGCAAATTTTCTGTTGTAGGTGGAGAGCCAACCTGCGTAGCTCAGATGAGTTTACGTTAGTAGCTCTAGCTCTGGCTACAAGGGTCCTGGGTTCGAATCCCAGGTAAGGCATGGCTGTTTGTGATTGTATAGTGGGTTGAGTGGGGAGAATAGCTAATTAGCTAACACTCCGCTCACTATAAAATAAAGGCAATAATAATATAAATATCGCTTATATTAACGCTCAGAATGCAAATGGCTCAACCCTTCTGCATAGAGCTGTTAATTTGTGTGATGAGAATTTGGTTCAGTGGTTAATCGAAAATGGAGCAATGGTAAATGTAAAAATTCGCTGCGTAGACGTTATAAATATTTTGCTAGAACATGAAGCTATACTTAGTATAGGTGATGAAAACATAAACACGCCGTTGCACTTGGCAGTAATTGACAATAACAAACACATAGTCAAGATGTTAGTAGCAAAGAAATCGGGCATAGATCTCAAAAACAAAATGGGGAATGCTCCAATACATACAGCCGTTCTTCATGGTTTCCTGAACATAGCTGTGATTCTCGGTAAAAATAACGCAAGTCTCAATTTACAGGACAAAAATCTTAATACACCACTGCATTTGGGGGTGATGAAGAATGACAGCGAAATAGTTCAGTTTCTTCTAGAAAAGAAAGTAGATACTGAGATTTTCAATAGCAACAAAGATGTTCCACTTATTGTTGCAACCTGGCATGGCTACACAGATATTGTTTCCATTTTGATAGACGCTGGCGCTAACAGGAATGTGAGGAACCGGGATGGAAACACACCGCTTCATTTGGCAGTCAACAAAAATAATTCAGAAATGGTCCAACTGCTTATAGCGAAACAAGTGGATTTGGAAATTCGAAATAACATCCAAGATACTCCAATAATTTGGGCAGTTTGGCTCGGTTTCAAAGAAGTGACTCGCTTATTGATCGATGGTGGAGCAAATAAGAACGTGGGAAACAGAGGGAATAATACCCCTCTGCACTTGGCGGTTGGTAAAAATGATATCGAAATGGTTAAGCTGCTCCTTGAGATGAAGGTAGATATTGAGGCTATGAATAACATCAAGGATGTTCCACTTATTCTTGCAACATGGCGTGGACACTTGGATATAGTTGCTCTTTTTATAGAAGCTGGCGCCAACAGGAACGTCAAAAACAGAGATGGGAACACACCTCTTCATTTGGCTGTCAACAAAAACAATTCAGAAATGGTCAAACTGCTTATAGCAAAGGAAGTGGATATGGAAATTAAAAATAACATCCAAGATACTCCAATAATTTGGGCAGTGTGGCTCGGTTTCAAAGAAGTTACTCGCTTACTTATAGAGGGTGGAGCAAATAGAAACGTGGGAAACAGAGGGAATAATACCCCTCTGCATTTGGCGGTTGATAAAAATGACATCGAAATGGTTAAACTACTCCTTCAGAAAAATGTAGACATTGAGATCACCAACAACAATAAAGATGCTCCCGCTTATTGTCGCAACCTCACGTGGACACTTGGACATTGTTTATCTTTTAATAGAGACTGGTGCTAATAGGAACGTGAAGAACAAAGATGGGAACACACCGCTTCATTTGGCCGTCAATACAAATAATTCAGAAATGGTCAAACTGCTTATAGCCAAAGAAGTGGATCTGGAAATTCGGAATAACATCCAAGATACTCCAATAATTTGGGCAGTGTTACACCCCTCTTGATATAGCCGTCTCCAAGGGGCATCTGGATGTTGTCAAAGCGCTCTTGACACGGGGATCTTCGGTTAACAGTTTGGATAAGGACAACAATACACCGTTGTACACCGCTTCATGGCACGAAGCAACTGAAATAGTTGGAATTTTACTCGATAAGGGTGCGAATGCAAGCATGAGAAACAAAGCGGGTCACACTCCTCTTGATAGAGCGGTCTCCAAGGACCATCTGGATGTTGTCAAGGCGCTCTTGATACGGAGATCTTCTGTTGACAGTTTGGATAAGGACAACAATACACCCCTCCACTTTGCCGCATGGCAGGGGGCAACGAAGATAGTTGGCATTTTGCTCGGTGAGGGGGCAAATGTAAACCAGAGAAACCAAGTAGGGGACAGTGCTTTGGATATTGCCATTTCTAGAGGTCATGTAAACCTTACAAAGACTCTATTGCAGCATGGGGCATGTTCAAACTGTCCAAACGAACAGAAAAACACCGCGCTTCATCACGCAGCGTGGCATGGTGCTCCTGATGAAATAATTAAAGCTCTACTCGAAAGGGGCGCGAATGCGAGTCTGCGAAACAATGGAGGAGCAACCCCGCTCGACATTGCGGTTCTACGGGGGCACGTTGACGTTGTAAAATCGCTGTTGGAACACGGAGCACCAGTCAATCTCGCGAATGAGCAAAATAACACCGCTTTGCACCATGCCGCGTGGCATGGAGCAGTGGAAGCAGTCAAAGTGCTTCTGGATCACGGCGAAAATTCAAGCCTTAGAAACATCGCTGGTGAATCTCCATTGGATATGGCCGTGGTAAGGGGGCACCCACACGTTGTGAAGGCTTTGTTGGAACATGGAGCTACAGTGAACCTTGCGAACGACCAACAAAGCACAGCGCTACATCACGCGGCGTGGAATGGTGCGTCTGATGAAACACTTAAAGTTCTTCTCGAGGGAGGCGCGAATATGGTTCTACGAAACGGTGGCGGAGCAACCCCGCTAGATATTGCCATCCTACGCGGTCACGGCGGCGTTGCAAAATCGCTATTAGATCACGGATCTGCAGTCAATCTCGCAAATAAAGAAGGTAACACTCCACTACATCTTGCAATTTTAGAAGGGCAGGATCACATCTTCGCTGATTTACTAAATTTCGGTGCAGACGTCAACGCTCAAAATAAGGAAGGCTATACGCCACTCCATATTGCAATTTCCCAGAACGATACTGCCGCAGTTAAAACTCTTCTGTCTAAAGGGGCCGATGTAAACATTGAAAATAAGTTTGGAGATCGGGCGCTACATGTGGCGACGTTACTTAATCGTGGCGATTTAATTATTGATCTCGTAAACGGCGGAGCCGATCTTAACGCGAAGAATGCTGATAATTTAACCGCTCTTGATATAGCATCTAAGAACCGATTTCAAGATATTGTTGATATACTGCTTTCTCAAAGAGGAGTTATACATTTAGTGGAAATTTACTGAAAAATTAACAATAATAAAGTAATGCTATCACCGACCTTATCATTGTTTTTTTCTACGCAATACGTAAAGTCCGATAGTAAAAAAAAGGGGAAACCCAATTGCAAAATGAAGATATAAACGAGTACGTATCTATAGTTCTCATTTGCATGTGTGTAGGTCTTACAAAATAAACCCAAGAATGGATTTAGCTCTGCTAGTAATGTTTATTGTGTTGTTTTCCGGTAATGTAGATCGAAGTATCTCTGCAGCAATTGGTGCGTATTGCGTGGTATAATTTAAAATTCCATGAGAATTTTCGGTTGTAGGTAGAGATTTTGAAAATAAGACACTGCTTGGGATAGCTAGTGAAAGTCGCAACGTTGAAGTCTTAAAGACATTGCTACAAAATGGCGTAGGTGTTAATCAGGAGAGTGTAGCTGTAGATGGGCGAGGAAATACGGCACTACACCAAGCAGCAGAGGGTGGGGCAACCGAAATAGTCAGAGTTTTACTGGATAACGGTGCAAATGCCGATATTAGAAACGAAGCAGGACTTACTGCTCTTGACATAGCCGTCACAAAGGGCAATGCAGATGTTGTCAAGGCGCTCTTGGTGCGTGGATCTTCGGTAGACAGTAGAGATAAGGACAACAATACATTGTTGTACATCGCCGCAAAACATGGTGCAACGGAAATCGTAGACATTTTGCTAGATAAGGGCGCGAATGCAAACATCAGAAACAATGCGGGTTACGCCCCTCTAGATGTAGCCGCTTCAAAGCGCCATGTGGACGTTGTCAAGACGCTTTTAGCGCATGGATCTTCGGTAGACAGTAGGGATGTGGACAACAATACAGCGTTGCACTTCGCCGCATGGTACGGAACAACCGAAATAGTCAACATTTTGCTCGATAAGGGTGCGAATGCAAACATCAGAAACATCGATGGTCACACCCCTCTTAATATGGCCGTCTCTAAAGGCAATATAGATGTTGTCAAGGCGTTCTTGGCGCATGGATCTTCAGTTGACAATAGGGATATGCACAACCATACAGCTTTGCACTTCGCCGCATGGCAAGGTGCAACGGAAATAGTCGAAACTTTGCTCGATAAGGGTGCGAATGCAAGCATCAGAGATAACGCGGGTTACACCCCTCTTGATATGGCCGTCTCCAAGGGCCATTTGGATGTTGTCAAGACGCTGTTAGCCCGCGGATCTATGGTTGGCAATAGGGATAAAGACAACAATACAGCGTTGCATATCGCCGCATGGAACGCAGCAACGGAAATAGTCGACATTTTGCTCGACAAAGGTGCTAATGCAAATATCAGAAACAACGCCGGCCACATCCCTCTTGATATTGCCGCCACCAAGGGCCATGTGCAAGTTGTCAAAACGTTTTTGGCGCGTGGATCTGCAATTGACAATAGGGATATGCACAACCATACAGCTTTGCACTTCGCCGCATGGCAAGGTGCAACGGAAATAGTCAACATGTTGCTCGATAAGGGTGCGAATGCAAGCATCGAAGACGACGCGGGTCGCATACCTCTTGATGAAGCCATCTTCAAAAACCAAGTGGATGTTGTCAAGGTGTTCTTGATGCGTGGATCTTCAGTTGACAGTAGAGATAAGGACAACAATACACCGTTGCACATCGCCTCATGGCAAGGTGCAACGGAAATAGTCGAAACTTTGCTCGATAAGGGTGCAAATGCAAGCATCAGAGACTACGGGGGTTATATCCCTCTTCAATTAGCAGTCTTCAAGGGCCATCTGGACGTTGTCAAGATGCTTTTGTCGCGTGGTTCTCCGGTTGACAGTAGGGATGCGAAAAACAATACAGCGTTGCACATCGCCGCATGGCAAGGAACTACGAAAATAGTGGAAATTTTACTCAATAAGGGTGCAAATGTAAACAACAAAAACAATGTAGGGGACAGTCCGTTAATTATTGCAAGTTTAAGAGGCCATTTAAACGTTACAAAAGTTCTATTAGAGCATGGGGCGTGCGTAAACTTTGCAAACAAACGTAAATACACCGCGCTTCATCACGCAGCGTGGAATGGAGCAGTTGATGAGGTCAAGGTGCTTTTGGATAACGGTGCAAATTCAAGTCTCAGGGACATGACTGGCTTCTCTCCATTGGATCTAGCCGCCCTAAGGGCGGACGCGAACGTAGTAAAAGCTCTGTTGGAGCGTGGAGCTGTAGTAGACTTTGCGAGCGATGAACACAATACCGCATTGCATTACGCCGCGTGGGCTGGTGGTTCTGATAAAACAGTTAAAGCTCTTCTCGAGAGAGGCGCAAGCACGAGTCTGCGAAACAGCGACGGAGCAACTCCGCTAGATGTCGCCATTCTACAAGGAAACGGCGACGTTGCAAAATCGCTGTTACAGCACGGAGCTCCAGTCAATCTCGCCAATAAGGATGGTGATACTCCACTACATCTTGCAATTTTTGAAAGACAGGATCTCATCTTCGCTGATTTACTAAATTTTGGTGCAGACGTCAACGCTCAAAATAACTACGGAAATACGCCACTCCATACTGCAATTTCCCAGAACGATACTTTCGCAGTTGAAGCTCTTCTGTCTAAAGGGGCCGACGTGAACATTGAAAATAAATTTGGAGATCGAGCCCTACATGTGGCAACGTTACGTTCTCGTGGCGATTTGATTATCGATCTCGTAAACGGTGGAGCCGATCTTAACGCGAAGAATGCTGATAATTTAACCGCTCTTGATATAGCATCTAAGAAGCGATTCCAAAATATTGTTGATTTACTGCTCTCTCTGGGAGGAGTTACAGGTTTAGTGCAAATTTAATCAGCATTAGGCTAGATTCGATCAACATTAAATAAAGTAATGCTAACACTGACCTTATATTTGTTTTTTTTTACTGCAAACGCAAATTGCGATAGGAAAAAAGGGGGAAACCCCGTTGTAAAATGAAGATATAAGAGAAGCATCTAGTTAAACTTGTTCTCATTTGCATATGTGCAGCTCTCACAAAATAAACCCAAGAATGTATTTCACATTCCTAGTAATGTTTACTGTGTTGTTTTCCGATAACATAGGTCAAAGTGTCTCTGCAGCCATTGGTGCGTATTACGTTGTTTAATTTAAAATCCCAGGCAAATTTTCTGTCGTAGGTGGAGATATAAATATCGATTATATTAACGCTCAGAATGCAAATGGCTCAACCCTTCTGCATAGAGCTGTTAATTTGTGTGATGAGAATTTGGTTCAGTGGTTAATCGAAAATGGAGCAATGGTAAATGTCCAAAATCAAGCACTGGATCTTCCCCTACATGTAGCTGTAAAAATTCGCTGCGTAGACGTTATAAATATTTTGCTAGAACATGAAGCTATACTCAGTATAGGTGATGAAAACATAAACACGCCGTTGCACTTGGCAGTAATTGACAATAACAAACACATAGTCAAGATGTTAGTAGCAAAGAAATCGGGCATAGATCTCAAAAACAAAATGGGGAATGCTCCAATACATACAGCCGTTCTTCATGGTTTCCTGAACATAGCTGTGATTCTCGGTAAAAATAACGCAAGTCTCAATTTACAGGACAAAAATCTTAATACACCACTGCATTTGGGGGTGATGAAGAATGACAGCGAAATAGTTCAGTTTCTTCTAGAAAAGAAAGTAGATACTGAGATTTTCAATAGCAACAAAGATGTTCCACTTATTGTTGCAACCTGGCATGGCTACACAGATATTGTTTAAAAATTCGCTGCGTAGACGTTATAAATATTTTGCTAGAACATGAAGCTATACTCAGTATAGGTGATGAAAACATAAACACGCCGTTGCACTTGGCAGTAATTGACAATAACGAACACATAGTCAAGATGTTAGTAGCAAAGAAATCGGGCATAGATCTCAAAAACAAAATGGGGAATGCTCCAATACATACAGTCGTTCTTCATGGTTTCCTGAACATAGCTGTGATTCTCAGTAAAAATAACGCAAATCTCAATTTACAGGACAAAAATCTTAATACACCACTGCATTTGGGGGTGATGAAGAATGACAGCGATATAGTTCAGTTTCTTCTAGAAAAGAAAGTAGATACTGAGATTTCCAATAGCAACAAAGATGTTCCACTTATTGTTGCAACCTGGCATGGCTACACAGATATTGTTTCCATTTTGATAGACGCTGGCGCTAACAGGAATGTGAGGAACCGGGATGGAAACACACCGCTTCATTTGGCTGTCAACAAAAATAATTCAGAAATGGTCCAACTGCTTATAGCGAAACAAGTGGATTTGGAAATTCGAAATAACATCCAAGATACTCCAATAATTTGGGCAGTCTGGCTCGGTTTCCAAGCAGTTGCTCGCTTACTTATCGATGGTGGAGCAAATAAGAACGTGGGAAACAGAGGGAATAATACCCCTCTGCATTTGGCGGTTGATAAAAATGACATCGAAATGGTTAAGCTACTCCTTGAGAAGAAAGTAGACATTGAGATCACCAACAACAATAAAGATGTTCCGCTTATTGTTGCAACCTCGCGTGGACACTTGGGCATGGTTTCTCTTTTAATAGAAGCTGGTGCTAATAGAAACGTGAAGAACAAAGATGGGAACACACCGCTTCATTTGGCTGTTAATACAAATAATTCAGAAATGGTCAAACTGCTTATAGCGAAACAAGTGGATTTGGAAATTCGAAATAACATCCAAGATACTCCAATAATTTGGGCAGTGTGGCTCGGTTTCCAAGAAGTTACTCGTTTACTTATAGAGGGTGGAGCAAATAGAAACGTGGGAAACAGAGGGAATAATACTCCTCTGCATTTGGCGGTTGATAAAAATGACATCGAAATGGTTAAGCGACTCCTTGAGATGAAGGTAGATATTGAGGCTATGAATAACATCAAGGATGTTCCACTTATTCTTGCAACATGGCGTGGACACTTGGATATAGTTGCTCTTTTGATAGAAGCGGGCGCCAACAGGAACGTCAAAAACAGAGATGGGAACACACCGCTTCATTTGGCTGTCAACAAAAACAATTCAGAAATGGTCAAACTGCTTATAGCGAAGGAAGTGGATATGGAAATTAAAAATAACATCCAAGATACTCCAATAATTTGGGCAGTGTGGCTCGGTTTCCAAGAAGTTACTCGCTTACTTATAGAGGGTGGAGCAAACAGAAACGTAGGCAACAGAGGGAATGACACCCCTCTGCATGTGGCAGTTGGTAAAAATGATAACCAAATGGTTAAACTGCTCCTTGAGAAGAAGGTAGACATTGAGGCTATGAATAACATCAAGGATGTTCCACTTATTCTTGCAACATGGCGTGGACACTTGGATATAGTTGCTCTTTTGATAGAAGCGGGCGCCAACAGGAACGTCAAAAACAGAGATGGGAACACACCGCTTCATTTGGCCGTCAATAAAAATAATTCAGAAATGGTCAAACTGCTTATAGCCAAAGAAGTTGATCTAGAAATTCGAAATAACATCCAAGATACTCCAATAATTTGGGCAGTCTGGCTCGGTTTCAAAGAAGTTACTCGCTTACTTATAGAAGGTGGAGCAAATAGAAACGTGGGAAACAGAGGGAATAATACCCCTCTGCATTTGGCGGTTGATAAAAATGACATCGAAATGGTTAAGCTACTTCTCGAGAAAAAAGTAGACATTGAGATCACCAACAACAATAAAGATGTTCCGCTTATTGTTGCAACCTCACGTGGGCACTTGGACATTGCTTCTCTGTTGATAGAAGCTGGTGCTAATAAAAATGTGAAGAACAAAGATGGGAACACACCGCTTCATTTGGCTGTCAATACAAATAATTCAGAAATGATCAAGCTGCTTATAGCGAAACAAGTGGATTTGGAAATTCGAAATAACATCCAAGATACTCCAATAATTTGGGCAGTGTGGCTCGGTTTCAAAGATGTTACTCGCTTACTTATAGAGGGTGGAGCAAACAGGAACGTAGGCAACAGAGGGAATGACACCCCTCTGCATGTTGCAGTTGGTAAAAATGATATCGAAATGGTTAAGCTGCTCCTTGAGATGAAGGTAGATATTGAGGCTATGAATAACATCAAGGATGTTCCACTTATTCTTGCAACCTGGCATGAACACTTGCGTATAGTTTCCCTTTTAATAGAAGCTGGCGCTAATAGGAACGTGAAAAACAGAGATGGAAATAGCCCACTGCATTTGGCAGTCTTACGATGCAATTCCGATATGGTAAAACATCTAATTATGGCAAAATGTTCGCTTGACATCAAAAATAACGCCGGACTAGTGCCTTATGACGTTGCTGTAAGTAACTGTCCCGCTGTCCTTCCATTATTCGGAGATGTAGACAATGAACCACTTCCTCATAATATAGTCTTTTAGATCACTACTTTTTTTTAACAAATAAATGAATTGCACAGATTGTTATTAACAATATTATTCTTATTTAAAAAAAACATTTTTGTATGTTGAAGTTATTGACGGCTGTTAAAACCATAAGTTACAATCCATTATTTATTACCTAAAGGTTTATTTATTACTGAGCTAGCCGTGGTATTAATTATTTCATTGCAAAAGATGGTACAGTAAAATGTTTACCACTGTCGTAGAAATTAAATTTTATTTTAGAAGCGCAAGGTGTTCAACGCCTGTAAGTGTAACTAGCCCGATTCACATTATCGGTCACGTCACGGTCAGATTACGATATGGTCACGGTGCGCTCAGTTATTTCGGCGTGAATTCCTTAAGGCCTCATTCACATTATTGGTCAGGTTACGGTAAGAACATGTTCATAAGGAATAATTGACCCGACCGTGATCTGCCCGTGACATGACCGTTAATGTGAATCGGGCTACTATTAATGGCCGAAAATTTTATTTTCTTAGATCGGCCATCTTTAATTATAGATAATATTATTTACGGTTTTTATTTATTAGTCTGGATAATTATTGCTACTTTCAATAATGTTTGCTATCTGTTTTTTTTTATTTTTGTTTTTTTTTTCGCATTTAGCGTTTATTATTGTATCTATGTACATTCATTGTAATTGTTCTACATTGTCTTAGAATTGGCGTGTTTTGCTGTTAGACAATAAATACATTATTATTATTATTCATTATTATTATAAATGAAGCGGATTCGTTTAGTTTCACGAATCAAAGGCACTCGGAGCCATTCATAACTTCTTCGCGCATAAGATTTGGCTCCAAGAAAACCCGATTTCGGATTATCGTCCTCGAGAAAAATCGCCTGTGGAGTATTTGCTCCTTGAAGATCCTTCTGCATTTTTGAATTGCAAAATGTGTGGACACTGTTGAAGCTCCAACCTCCCTCCCTCGCCAGACGCTGTTTTGGAAAGTAAAACGTGAAGAAATTTTATATCAAAATTACCACCGTGAGTACGGATATAGGTGAAGTATTTGATTCAAAAACCGATCTACAACAAAAATTATTGTTTATTAATTATGGTTAATATTATTATAAGTACACACTTTTAAGAATAGCTCAATTCGAGGTTAAATTACAACACTCTCGTTAATGAAAGCAATAAAGTAATTGCAAAATCATGTAATTAAGTACTATCATTAGGATTTGCTTTTCTGAATGACGTGTTAGACATGTATATTGTATATGTATAAGCTTATAATGTAACCATCTTTACTGTACGTACATATTTAGTTAAACCAAAGAGTATACTCGTATAACGTAATATACTCTTTGGTTAAACATAATAAATATCATTGACGATAGTTTGCTTTATTGAACCTCAATACTTGGTTTTTGAAATATTTGTTTTATAAATTACTTTATGTCTTACTAACCTATCATAGCACATTTTATATCTGTGATACGCGGGCATAAAGTACCACTTTATGCCCTAGGGCATTAAGTATCACCATAGTAACTCATTTATACTTAATGACAAAAGGAACAAATATTTGCGGGTCATTGAAAATTAGAAACGTCAATTATTAATTGTCATTACCTACTAAATCACAAGATTGGCCTTATTTCGTATAGTTTCTGGAACTTCTTGCTCATTCACGATGAATTGAATTATTTAAAATTACGTTTGACGTTTGGATGGTTTCAATCACATTAACAAATTCGAACCAAGCATACTCGATCAAACATAATGAATTATTTTGTAAACGAATTTTGACGAAGAAAACTATTTGTAAAACATAAAATTGTGTATGTACCTACCACGGGCATATACTGATGTTTATACTCTCGGGCGACTAAAAAGCTCTCGGGCCATAGGCCCTCGAGCTTTTTAACTCGTCGCCCTCGAGAATATAAACATCACTATTATACCCTTAATACATAAATAACTATTTTAAAAGGGCGAAATTATTTATATTGTTTAAACAATATTTATGCTACTTATATAAGAAAATCAGTTTTGTGTGATTTTTTCCATAAAAGTTCTTATAATACAGGGCCGCTGATAAGTCTGGAAACGGTCGATTATCGGAGAAAATATACAAGATATCGAAATATGTTTTATCCAAAAGTTTTGGGGTTCTTCGTAGTAAGAATTTTAATTATACAGGGTGACTCGTAAAGGCGCGGTACACCAAAATTGCATTTTTTTAATGAAACACCCTGTATATTATTCAATATTTCAAATCTTCTCCCAATTTGACATCTCACAAATATAAATGAAAGTTCACTAGAAATGCACCCCAGAAGATTCGAATTCTTTAACAAAGATAGCATCCTCATATCGATCCTCTGACGTTACTCGACACTGACCTTTTAAACATACTGGATGGTGTAACAGTTTAGTTTATTCATATTCAAATTTCAAAATTACCGCTTGCTAGGTTAGGCAGGATATAGGTGAGATGGCGTCACTTGTACGCGTGTTTCTTTCCTTGCGCAGAATCGCGTTAATTTTTCACTTCATTTCCGTTTTAAAGCCAACGAGGTTGTACTTGTTGTAGAGCGTGGCATTGTGAATTCTTCTTAAACCAGTGGGTAATATTTGCCATCATTCACGTAAAATCTCTGGCAATTTTACCGTTTTTATTGGCGTTGTCGAGTAGAGTAACTCAGAAGCCGTTTTCTCCATTGCGAGGCTATATATCTGGTTGAAGTTCATCGCCCTACCTACATGTAAGTGAAATGGCGTTGATTTTCTTTTACGTTATGTTATCTAAAATTCTTTCAGACTCACAATTTGAGGTTGGATAATTTCCCTATTTCATTGATTTAAGTATTTTTCATTACCCTCCTGACGATTTCAGGTATGTTATTAAAAATCTCGTTAAGGGAGTGTTACATCTTCATTACTTTTAGGGGGTCCAGGTAGTAGATGAATTCTTGTACCGGTCAATCCATGTAGTAGGTCAATCCTTGTACAGACGAATCCTTGTATGTAAATGAATTTGCATCTTGCGAATATTCCGGAGTACGAACACCTGTTGATTGCCGGCAGTTATCCGGCGTACCACCGAGTAGATAAGCGCTAACACCTAAACGATACCGGGAGCGACCAGCTGATTGTGGAATTTTCGGAAGATACGATCTTTTACACAACCTTTTTTATTTGCTTCAATACCGTTAATCTAGTGTAACCTTCCAACGATTTATGATTGGAGCTTTGTATTTTGTTCGCATCTAGTGTTTGAGGTCGTGGCTCTCTTCAAGAGCAACGCACCTGTATTTAACGTATGGGTAAACGAGCCGGCTACGAGTAAGCTATTTTTTTTGCCCTTCTGGCTCATATAATCGTTCCGAGCGTTGTAGCTTGGGGTTTGTTTTTGTGTTACAGAACTGGAACTTCGAAGGAGAGCTCTTTTTCGGAGAAGACAGCGTATGTGTTATTCAAGGTAAGATTTTTAATTTACTTGTACCCAGTGTTGCCTATATTAGTTGTTATTCGGGTTAACTTAATTCAATCTTTGAATCCATTGAAATCTTAACTACATTTTTGCTCGATCATTGTTGTAGGGGGCTGGTAACGTAATCAGTAAGAAAGTGTTCATGAATTTATTTGGGGATTATTTTTGTCAGTTAAAGTATTTGTTATTGTCGTATTGAAGATACATTTTATTTGCCGATCCTGCACCGCTTTGCCAGGATTAATAAATCAGAATTGCTCGTAGTGAATTTATTATTTGGCTCTCTTGTGTTTTCCCAATTTCTATACAGGAGAGGTCAGAATTTGTGCAAAATTGGGTGGCGCTCAACCAATCATTTCTAGTGACTACCGAAGATCAAAAACTTATGTTATATGCCCAAACGAACAAACCGCTGTGGAAGATTCTCATCTCGAGCCCTTCTTTTAATTAAGAATCTGAGCTAGCTGGCCGTTTATGCGGCGGGGTTTGAGTTTTACAGCGCCGAACTAACCTCACGTTATAATGGTTAAGGTTAGCTATATAGAAATTGCTTGTGGAGGCTTCAGAAATTGATCCATTTTAGCCAATTTATTATAGTTCTTCACCGTTCAGAGTTTTTTTTTGCTTTCCTCTTGGAGACCCCACACTTTGGATTTTCACCCATTCTGATTTCAAATACCGTTGGCGTATATCAAGACACCGCACCACCGCACACAATTCTTATATCAGCAATTTTAAAACATAATGTTAGTCTGTATATGTAGGAAATAGTGTCTTGATTTAGCTTTGCTGATTTTGCATTTTGAAGTTCATACAGGTCCATTGTAAAATTTAGCTCCATTTTACTTTCTGCGTTCCGAGTCCGGTTGATTTTGTTCACACTTTAATTATCATGTTTCGTGTATTATTTATGCCATCACAAAAAGTAATGTACTTAATTTTAATTGTAATTCTTCGTTTTATTGTGAATTGTATTGCCTTCAGCTACTTGTAACTAGGGGTAGGTAACCCTTGAATCTGTTTGTTATTTATGCTTGTTTCACTTTAAATGATATTCTTATTTTTGATTTGTTTAAGATTGGCCAGTTGTTAAATGTTCCTTCGATGTTTAAACTCATTTAATTTGGTTAGTAACTTCAATTCTTTCTGCTGTTTTGAATATCTGTTTCATCCGTGCAGAGGTAAATTCTGGAGTGTTAAAATTACTTAGCGGTATTAATCTTGAAATACAACTTCAGTCTAAGGTTACCGTATCCAGGACCTTCAGGTACCTTCTGGACTGGAGGAGGTCCAGCTATTTAACACTGTATTTCATGTACTTTATGTAAGAGACTTCGGAATAGTATTTTTCACAAATGGGAAAGGAGTGGAGTTGCTTTTAAATCGATTTATGCTGGCTACTTTTCATCATAACAAATATTGTTCATTTTTAGCGCATTTCCACAAAAATAAAAAAAAATGCGCTATTGTGGCCACTTTGTCCGTCCGTCCGTCCGTCCGGCTGTCCGTCCGTCCGCCCGTCCGTTCGCTCGTTTTGCGACGCTACTAGTTCTTTATCTTAAGAGCTATTGTTCTACTTTTTTCGCTATTTGGTTCGTTATGGTGTCGAGGCTTGCACCAAGGAAGGAATTTTTTCTGCGTTTATTGCTAAAAAAGTTATTGTAACAAAACCAACAAACCGTTTTTTACATGTTCCATAATTTTACACTTTTGCCGTTTATTAACCATCCTAGAGATCATTTATAATTTTGTATTGTTGTCTGTCGTCTGTCTATTGGTCTGTCCGTCTGTTCCTTTGCCTGTCTGTCCCTCTATCTGTCCGTGTGAACGATAATTTTGTTTAGAAACGTCCGATCGCTTTTACATCTCCGTTAGTTATGAACTGAATTGCATGAAATTCAATATGGGCATAGCCTTAGCCATATAATACGCAATGCCAAAAGTTGAATCGAATCGATTCAAAATTCACAGTGCCCTTTTCGCATCTCGACCATTTATAAACCGAAATGCAAACTTTTTTACTTATAAAAGTATTTGAATGAAATTTGATACATAGGCACTTGGAATAAAGGAAAATCAAACGCCAATTTCAAAATTTGGTTTTGCGAATGCGCAGTGCCAACTTTTTTATTTATGGAAGAATTTAAACGAAATTTGATACATAGGCACTTGGGATAAAGGAAAATCAAATGCCAGTTTCAAAATTTGGCTTTGCGCATGCGCAGTGCCAACTTTTTTATTTATGGAAGAATTTAAATGAAATGTGATACATAGGCGCTTGGAACAAAGGAAAATCTAACATTAGTTTTAAAATTTAGGTTTGCGCATGCGCAGTTCCAACTTTCTTATTTAGAAAAGCATTGAAATGAAATTTTTCTCATAAACTGAAATTGAAGTAGCACGTCAAAAATGGATTGCCCATGTGCAACGCTATCTTTCATATTTGTGGCCGGGTTTTTACGATTTTAACAGAAGTTGCATCTTACAAATGGGAAATGAATGCAAGTGGAAATGCGCTTTATGTAAATCGTTTACGATTACTTTTTTACTTGTTGTATATTGTGTATTACTCTAGATTTTTCACCTATACTTATCCTCTGTGAATTCGGAAGTTTCTTCGGCTCGGTTCCTTTGTTCGACGAGTTCTAGGGGAACACGGCACGTCTTTGGCTTTAGAGGCATTTTTTTAAAGGATTCTTGTATAAAGACATTATTTGAATATGCTAGAACCACGTTTATTCGAAGGGTCTACATACAAAATGTTACTCAAATATCTCAACAACTAAAAAAATTGGATTGGGCAAATTTCATTTAAATATCTTGACAAACAAACAAAAAATAAATAATAAATAAATAAATAATAAAAAAATAAATGGTTGGGTTACAAGGTAGTAGCATGCTATCGATGTTTACTCTCTTGGTAGATGATTAACGGGGGAGAGGCTCGTTACACATATTACACATATACATTTAAAGGCCGCCTGGCATACATTCGAAATCCTCCGACACTTAATTCTGAAGATATTTTCACTGACAGCTTTGACATCATCAATAGATGTTTCTCGTCCTGATGTTCCACTTGCCTTTTGTGAGTACCCTCTTCCGACATTTTGTTGTCAAGGTATTTGCTTCCACTTCACCAATAGATTTGTCTCGTCCAGTTGATTCATTTTGCCTTTGAGAGTACTTTCCTCCGAAAAATCGTTTTCGAGATATTCGCCCTTAAAGTTTTAAGATCATCAATGGATATATTTCTTCCAGGCGTCCCAATCGCCATTTGTGATCTAGGACCATTCCCCTAGAACTCCTAGGAGTAGTTCAATACGGCAGAAGTGAGCCCGGACGGACGGACAAAACGCAAAAAATAGCCCATTTTTTTAATTCTTAAAAAAATGCGTTAAGAAATGGATTGCACATACGCAAAAGGAATTTTTTGTTTCAAAGTTCGTTTTGCTTTTATTCGAGGTGCCCACACAAAATTCCATGCAATTCGGTTCATAACCATGATGTAAAAAAATCGAATTGCACATGGGCAAATTTAATTTTTTGATTCGGCATTAGATTCACTTTGTTTCAAGATGCAGGGCCACTGATAAGGGATAGCTAGCCGGAGCAAATGCACCGGAGCCCGGGCGTATTCTGGGAGCCCGGCCACAAGAAATTTTGAAGCTGCCAATTGCATTTTTAACAGAAATCTGCATATGCATATTTCTATATGAGAGAGAATCTAAAAAAATGCATTACGGAAGATTTAAAAAACAATACCATTGAACAAAGTTTCCTAATTATACGAGAGAAGAGAGTGACCAATATTGAGGAGGGCGGAGCAGAAGGTACTAAGGATACTAATGGAAAATAGCAACCTCAGAAGAAAGCAGATTAGGGAAATACTAGAGGGAAAGACGATCACCAGGGGACTGAAGATGAGAGGGAGATGAGATACTGGGACATATAAAGAGAAGGATCACATCGAACATAGGCCGAACGGTAAACGCCTCGGAGATCCTCATGGGAAGATGGGAAGAAGGGAGCAGAGACAAATATCAAACGAAGAAGGAAAGCAGACGAGTATTGGAGGAAGAGTGAACAGAAAGCAGCGCAGCGAGAGGACATCAATAAGAAGGGGACGAACAATGAGGTCGGAGTGGAAGGAAACGAGGCCAAAAGATGGGGAAACTAACGCCCAGTAAGCAGTGTTCCCTCTAAGGCAGATATTCGAGTAGCGAAACTGTAGCCGTACCCTTTCGGCTCGGATAAAACCCAGTTAGCCAGTTAGTTAAATAATCCACCTGCAAAATTTCATCGTAATCGGTCCATTCGGTCTCTTTTAAATCGATGAACCTGAAGTCATCGAGCGAGCGAGCGTCCGGACGATTGGGGGAAAGCATAAACTCTACGCTAAAATAGCTCTATAAAAAAATAGTAGCCATATAATCGTAGGGATGGACAGAGGGACGAACTGAACGTATTTTTTTTGGAAACACGATAACACGGTCTCTAAGAATAGCAAACAGATAATCTCAAAGATAAGTAATCTTTGGGCCTGTACAAACATTTCTCGAAATACCATAAGCGCCCTGATATTCCATGATCTTACTAATAAATGTACCCATACAAAAAAAAAACACAGTAATTTCCTATTCAACCTTATCATTGACGCAGGTATAGCATTTGAACACTGGCCTTTTTAGCTTATTCTATCACGATTGACATGAAACGTACGTAAATAAATACAGAATCACGAATTCAGGTTTAACGCTCTGCTATACGTACATTGGGGAAGTAATATTTTCCGTTATTCACGAAACAAATTAGCAAGATATGTGGAAATCCCGTTATATCGGTAGGTTTGATATAAATTGGTATGCATCCAAACTTGTTCTGTTTTCTGTATCTAGTATCAAACTGGTTCAAAATGAATTTATCAAGAGTGTACTTTGTTTTGGTGATATTGATTGTGTCATTTAACGATAATGTCGTTTCTGGTATCAATGGTATGTATTACAATAAATTGCGTAAATTATAACATGTATACATAGGTGGTGATTTAAATATCAATTATATCAATGCTCAGAACGAAAATGGCTCGACACTCTTGCATGGCGCTGTCAATCAGTGCGATGCAAATATGGTACGGTGGTTGATAGTCAATGGTGCAATGGTTAACATTCAAAATAGCGCACACGATCTGCCATTGCATATCGCTGTAAGAATTGACTGCGTGGAAGCGGTCAAAATTTTGGTCGAAAATGACGCATTACTAAGTGTAGGCGATGAAAATATGAACACGCCATTACACTTAGCCGTAATTGGCAATAACGAGAACGTAGCCCAGGTGTTAGTAGCAAAACGATCGGGCATGGATATCAAAAACAAGGCGGGAAATGCCCCAATCCACACCGCCGTTCTTTTTGGTTTCCTAAACATCACCGTGCTTCTCAGCGAACATAACGCCAGTTTAAATTTACAAAACAAAGATTTGAATACCCCCTTGCACTTGGCAGTGATGAAAAATGATTACGAAATGGTCAAAATATTGATACACATGGGAGCTCGCCTTAACATTCGAAACGGGCTCAATCAGCTTCCCATAGACATTGCACTTGAACGTAGTTATCTAGGAGTAAGTGCATTGCTCCTCGATTGTGGTACTGATATAAATGCGAAAGATAAAGATTCGAACACGTTACTGCACGCCTCCGTGATCAGAAATAATTATATCGTGGTAAAGCTACTCCTCTCAAAAAAGGCGGACTTGAACATTCCAAACAACGAAGGACTTCTTCCAATTCATAGCGCGACCTTCGACAACAACGAGGAAATGTTACAGTTGCTTTTAGACAATGGTGCTAACGTAAATAGTGAAAGCACCCGTTACGAAACCCCCATTTTTACGGCCATACGAAAGAGAAACTGGAAAATAGTTAACTTTTTAATATCCAAAAAAGCGGATCTTCTAGTGAAAGGTGCAGATGGAAACGCACCCATTCACATTTCAGTTTTGAACGAAGAGTTAAGTATAACCCAGCTTCTGATAACGGAAGGAGCCGATATAAATGTTAGCAATCTCAAAAATGAAACACCTCTTCATGTAGCCATACGTAGAAACAATGCGGCCATTGTGAAACTTCTATTGGATAGCAATGCCAATTTGATGATGGAAAACAGTCAAGGTGAGACTCCCTTATTGCTTGCCCTAAGAACTAATTGTATAGAAATTGCGCGGCTGATCATGGATTCTGCAAAGGGCATAAATGGAACAGATTCAGATGGCAATAACATACTGCACCTTGCAGTAGCCAAAAATTACATCGAAGCAGTGAAAATGCTACTTGATGAAAAAGTAGACTTGGAAGCGAAAAACCACGACGAAGATGTGCCCCTACTGATTGCAGTTGCAAAGGGATATCAAGTAATCGCCCAATTGCTCATCGGGGCCGGTGCCAACAAAAGTGTAACTAAGCAAAATGGCGACAGCCTGCTTCATCTGGTGGTACACAACGGTGACACAAAAATGATAAAAATGCTAATCGAAAATGGCGCTGATTTGGAAACTAAAAACGGAATTGGAGACTCTGCCCTTATCCTAGCGGTGTGGCTTGGCCATATAGAAGTGACCACACAGTTGATAGTCAGCGGGGCCAACGTTAATGTGAAAAATCGCGATGGTAATACCCCACTTCTTCTAGCGGTAATTAAAAATGATGCCAAACTCGTCAAGTTACTTCTCGAAAAAAAGGCTGATTGTACCATTTCAAATAAAGATAAAGAAGTCCCACTTATTAAAGCGTCGTCTAATGGATTGTTAGAAGTGGTTTCTCTTCTGATAGAAGGCGGTGCTGATAAAAACGTACAGGACCGCAATGGAAATACTCCGCTTCATTTGGCGGTTCAAAGGAATGACACGGAAATGGTCGAACTCCTGATTGCCAATAAAGTCGACATGGAAATAAAGAACGGCATTCAAGATACTCCGCTCATTTCGGCCGTTTGGTTGGGTTTCAAGGAGGTGACGCGATTGCTGATTGAAGGCGGAGCAAATAAAAGCGCCGGGAACAGAGACAACAATACTCCTCTTAATCTGGCCGTTAGTAAAAATGACATCAAAATGGTTAAGCTCCTCCTCGAGCAAAAAGTAGACACTGAGATTGCAAACAAAAACCAGGATGTTCCTCTCATTGTGGCCACGTGGAATGAGTACATCGAGATAGTGTCTCTTTTGATTGATGGCGGCGCTAATAAGAACGTGAAAAACCGAAACGCCGATACTCCGCTGCATTTGGCCGTTTCCAAAAACAACATTGCATTGTCAGCGCTTCTGATTGGTAAAAAGGTTGACATGGATGTTAGGAATGGCATTCAGGATACTCCACTCATTGCGGCTGTTTGGTTGGGTTTCAAGGAGATGGCGCGTTTGCTGATCGAAGGCGGGGCAAATAAAAACGTAGGGAACAGAGACAGCAACACTCCTCTTAATCTGGCCGTTAGTAAAAATGACATCGAAATGGTTAAGCTCCTCCTCGAGAAAAAGGTAGACACCGAGATTGCAAACACCAACAGGGACGTACCTCTTATTGTGGCCACGTGGAATGAGTACATCGAGATAGTGTCTCTTTTGATTGATGGCGGCGCTAACAAGAATGTGAAAAACAAGGACGGAAACACACCACTCAGTTTGGCTGTCCATAAAAACAACACCGCCTTGGTCAAACTGCTGATATCGAAACAAGTCGACATGGATGTTAGGAATGGAATTCAGGATACTCCACTCATTTCGGCTGTTTGGTTGGGTTTCAAGGAGATGGCGCGTTTGCTGATTGAAGGCGGAGCAAATAAAAACGTCGGGAACAGAGACAACAACACCCCTCTTAATCTGGCCGTTAGTAAAAATGACATCGAAATGGGTAAGCTCCTCCTCGAGAAAAAGGTGGACACCGAGATTGCAAGCACCAACAGGGACGTTCCTCTTATTGTAGCCACGTGGAATGAGTACATCGAGATAGTGTCTCTTTTGATTGATGCTGGTGCTAACAAGAATGTGAAAAACAAGGACGGAAACACACCACTCAGTTTGGCTGTCCATAAAAACAACACCGCCTTGGTCAAACTGCTGATATCGAAACAAGTCGACATGGATGTTAGGAATGGCATTCAGGATACTCCACTCATTGCGGCTGTTTGGTTGGGTTTCCAAGAGATGGCGCGTTTGCTGATTGAAGGCGGGGCAAATAAAAACATCGGGAACAGGGACAACAACACCCCTCTTAATCTGGCAGTTAGTAAAAATGACATCGAAATGGTTAAGCTCCTCCTCGAGAAAAAGGTAGACACTGAGATTGCAAACAAAATCCAGGATGTACCTCTTATTGTGGCCACATGGAATGAGTACATCGAGATAGTGTCTCTTTTGATTGATGGTGGCGCTAACAAGAATGTGAAAAACAAGGACGGAAACACACCACTTAGTTTGGCTGTCCATAAAAACAACGCCGCATTGGTGAAGCTGCTGATATCGAAAAAAGTCGACATGGATGTTAGGAATGGAATTCAGGATACTCCACTCATTGCGGCTGTTTGGTTGGGTTTCCAAGAGATGGCGCGTTTGCTGATTGAAGGCGGTGCAAATAAAAACGTGGGAAACAGAGACAACAACACTCCTCTTAATCTGGCCGTTAGTAAAAATGACATCGAAATCGTTAAGCTCCTCCTCGAGAAAAAGGTGGACACCGAGATTGCAAACACCAACAGGGACGTTCCTCTTATTGTGGCCACGTGGAATGAGTACATCGAGATAGTGTCTCTTTTGATTGATGACGGCGCTAACAAGAATGTGAAAAACAAGGACGGAAACACACCACTCAGTTTGGCTGTCCATAAAAACAATGCCGCATTGGTGAAGCTGCTGATATCGAAAAAAGTCGACATGGATGTTAGGAATGGAATTCAGGATACTCCACTCATTGCGGCTGTTTGGTTGGGTTTCCAAGAGATGGCGCGTTTGCTGATTGAAGGCGGTGCAAATAAAAACCTGGGAAACAGAGACAACAACACTCCTCTTAATCTGGCCGTTAGTAAAAATGACATCGAAATCGTTAAGCTCCTCCTCGAGAAAAAGGTGGACACCGAGATTGCAAACACCAACAGGGACGTTCCTCTTATTGTGGCCACGTGGAATGAGTACATCGAGATAGTGTCTCTCTTGATTGATGGCGGCGCTAACAAGAATGTGAAAAACAAGGACGGAAACACACCACTCAGTTTGGCTGTCCATAAAAACAACGCCGCATTGGTGAAGCTGCTGATATCGAAAAAAGTCGACATGGATGTTAGGAATGGAATTCAGGATACTCCACTCATTGCGGCTGTTTGGTTGGGTTTCAAGGAGATGGCGCGTTTGCTGATTGAAGGCGGTGCAAATAAAAACGTGGGAAACAGAGACAACAACACTCCTCTTAATCTGGCCGTTAGCAAAAATGACATCGAAATGGTTAAGCTCCTCCTCGAGAAAAAGGTAGACACCGAGATTGCAAACACCAACAGGGACGTTCCTCTTATTGTGGCCACTTGGAATGAGTACATTGAGATAGTGTCTCTTTTGATTGATGGCGGCGCTAATAAGAACGTGAAAAACCGGAACGGCGATACTCCGCTGCATTTAGCCGTTTCCAAAAACAACATAGCATTGTCAAGGCTTCTGATTAGTAAAAAGGTTGACATGAACCTTAAGAACGATAAACAAGATACTCCCCTCACTGTAGCCTCTTGGAAAGGTTATCTACCAATAGTTTCCCTTTTAATTGAAAGGGGGGCCGATAAAGATATCGCCAATAGTGATGGAAATACAGCACTCCACTTGGCCGTTTTTCATTGTAGCGCTGATTTGGTGAAGTATTTAATTACCATGGGATGCTCTTTGAACTTCAGAAACAATGCCGGATACTTGCCCTCCGATGTGGCTGTTGGTAACTGTCCCGCTGTTTTGCCGTTATTTGCACATGGTGTTGCAAATGAGCCACTTCCACTTGTAATTTATTAGTTTATCGCCTTGTTTATTGTCCTTAATAAAGTAATTGTTTTACCTGAAGTTTTATTGAAGTATATAGTTAAAAGAGGTTGGTAGGATTTATTTCCATGGAAATTAACTATCCGATAAATTTAACGGTAAGATGAAAGGTCGGTCTACGTACTGCAAGCGTATATGAATTGTTCATTCACTCGTAGAGTAGAATTAATTATTTTCTGAAGTGGCAGTCTGTTAGCTTTTACAACATAACTTCTAATATTTTCAAAATTAACTAAACAAATAAAAACAAGCAATTGGCCTCAATCTCTTGGAAATGAGAAACAACCTGCCCATGCCACACTCAACCACAGTTCACGGGCCGAAGCGCCGACCGAAATCGCCACAAAAAACAATTTTGAAATTTTGGAGGACCGTACTGGACTACCGCTGAAGAGTAGCCATATGCAGTGCGATTTCCCAATCGGTCTGTAGGTGTACCATTTCGCCCAGTGGACTATTTCGTTTATATAAGTCTTGAAAAATTACTCCTAAAAGGTCTGCTATCATTCTCAGGTGTACAATTCGTACTGGGAGTTATAAAAACCATTAGGCGCCACCGTATAAATGAATCAAAGTTCATATTGTGCTATTTTGTATCTATTTTTATCTACAGACGCTCGTGATGTATGTTCAATCTCCACAGGAAGTCATGACCTACTCACTCAAAGATATTTCCAGTACATAATTTTTTATTGTTCGAAAAAAGCAAGAAACTGATTCGACGATTACTTGTAGTGCAATATGAACATTTCAAAGAGCAGATTTTTACAAGCGATCATTTTTTGGTTAACCCACTGTTGCCAATTCGCCTATCCAACGAGTGGTAAGATCAAATTTTTTTAACATGTTACGATTAGCACCTTCGATTTTTGTCATTCGTATTTGCATTTGGTCCAATGTTTTCTTAAACCGTTTGATCAACGTAACGTATTCCCATGGCCTGCTTATCAAAAATAGCAGATAATAGAGATAAAAGGTCAAACGCTCTAAAACTGGTGGGGCGATTAACAAAATTTTTATCGTTGATGGGCTGATATTCTCGAGATAGTGATATCATAGTTCATTACATTGGTGGCAATGTCCAAGAGAAACGTTCCGTATGTGCAACAACTTTCAAGGAAGCTGTTCATTTTTTGAGCAGTCGTTTGTGGTTGTTTCTAGTTTTTTTTAATCATCATCAAAGGAAATTTGAGAAATTAAACTTCTCATTTCTGATAATGGAATTTTTAAACGCCTACCTGTGGTCGCTTTTTGGCTGTGTCTTTGGGTAATTTACTTTAAGTTATTGTGGATTTAACAAACAAACAATTTTATGAATGTTCTTCAGCAAACAGTTAAACGAAATTTTTAGATCCTACATAGATACCGATCCCACAGATGCGCTTCAAATTCCTAAGATCGCATAAATCTGACATATCCGTCAGATAGGTAGTACATTAGATCCTTCTGATTCCTCGGATCTTTCAGAACCCATCAGATGCGTCAGATCTCTGACTTCTTTTAGATCGTTCAGATCCTCACTTCCGCGGATCCTTCAGATTCCTCAAATATCGCAGATCCCTTAGTCTGATCAAATAATTCTGCTCCCTCAGACCCTCCAGAATTTTCAAACCTACTAGAATCCCTCAAATATATCGAATCCTTGAGATCACCTTGATCCTATAGACTGTATCAGATTATTCGCTTCCTTCAGATCTTTTTGATTCCTCAGAACGCGGGAGTACCCTCAGAACACAGCAGAAGCCATCAGATACTTCAGATCCTTTACGTGCATTAGTATCCTATACAGTCATTGCTGAAGCCATACATCTCCTAGATCCCTTTAATCTTTGTAATGCGTTGGATCTGTTAAAACTTTAAGAACTTCTAGGTTTGCTGACTACCTTAGACCCTAGGATCCCTTCAATCCTTTGACTCTTCGTATCTTACATTGAAACCTACATATCTCTAAATATAATGCAAATCATTCAAGAAACACTTCGGATATTTCCAGCACACCTCTGTACCAAACCTATCCTCATTGGATGGTTAAACCATTGAGTAAGAGCGCTTATTCAATGGTTAAATCTTAAAATTGTGGGCTCAACCTCGGAATGAGTGATAATAAGCTATAACCTTGTGTAAATCTTTATTTTGGCATTCTGAAAGTTGTCTTAAAGGTCTCATAAAATCTCGTGCCCGTTTGTTAGTTTTTGCATAGTACTCCGTACGCAGACAGTCGATAATTAAAATATAAGAAAATCTTCCAGTTTTTTCTTTTTTAGTAATCCTAAAATTTGGCCGTGAGTGATTGCGATATTCAAACACACTTAACTCAGCACAAACGCAGACAGCTTCAGAACTTCATTTTTCTTTAGCACGAACTTGATAATATACGAAGTGTTGAATACGATGACAAAAATTATCGGTGGCTATGCGAACGGTACTTAACTTTTCGCTTTGATAAGAAACTTCTCACAGAAATATTATGAAAATGACGAACTTTGTCTACAATCAATCAAATTGGGTGGATAGCCCGAATAGATAACGTAAAGAGACGTCCACCAACCGTCGCAAACCAGCTAGCTACCAGCCATATTTTTTTTGTTTACAGTATTTAAACGAACCGTCACCTCCACCGAACAAAAAACGTCTTTCAATATTTAGAAAAAAATGCACCAATTACAATCAGCCCTGATAACGCCAACTTCGAAGAAACAGGTCACCATTCCTTTCTCTCGAGGCGCGTGCATTATTTTATCTCCGCCAGGTGCGCATTTCTGTTGAATAATTAACGTTCGCCTGATATCAAAAATCCATATCGCAATAGACGAGATAAAACCTTTTATAATGTACGCAAATTGACCAGATGCTTCTTACATTGTAACACGCAATTTCACATTTTATAAATTAACTAAACAGACTTATAAGAACAATACGCAGTTACAAGCAGATCTGAAAGAAAAAATAACACTAGATTAATACAAACTCAAATGAAATAAACCAGCTCTGTGCTTATTCGTAAATAATCCCCCCGATTTGCTTTAAAAAATTGAAATAGTCATATACAGGGTGTCCCGTCATAATTTACATCGTTTTTTCGACTCTTGATTCTGTTGGCGTGGCGTGAGGGGGGTGAATCTTGTAGTAACTATCTCATTACAATCGAAAAGCTCCTACATCAGGCAGCTGTTTCACAAGTGGATGCACCTACAATTTTTTTGTTTTCTTCCGATCACACCTCCGATACTAATACAAAATCACAAGGTATTCCATCTGATTTAAATGTTGTCGAAATACCGCCATGATTGTGTTCAATCACAGCGCCGAATAAACGGGGTGTCAGTTTTTTCATGAGCTTTAATTTAGCAAATTCATATGATTATTTGTTTACACGACATAATTAAATTTTAATTGAAGTGAGAAGTAATATTATTCACATATCCTCTTCTTCTTGGTCAGCGGTGGTCGTCCGGTCCAATAACTGACCCGTTTAGTACGCAGTTCGCTCGGCATGTTTCCGAAGGGGGCCTTCGTTGGTGGGGTAAAATTAAGCATCTCATTTTTAGTCACAACCATCAGCGTAGGATGGATGTGTTCCTTGTCATTTCGAGTAAAAAGGAGTCTTGTTATATAGGGTGGTGTTTTAAGTGTACCATCTCAGGAACGGTTTGGAATTTCGATTCGGGATCCATTACCTTTTTTGAATAATCGATCAAAAGGAATTATTTAAAAATATTTCTTATTTCAAATGACACTATCTTTTCTAATCTAACAAATCAGTATGACTTTGTTAATATGATGCTATGTCTAACTGACATGGTTTCGAAGTTATTTGACATTTTTGACCTTTCAGAGGTTGCGTAAATTAGCCATATCACTGTTATCTGACAACTTAGCAAAATGTTCTTTACGAATAAAAAGGCTAAAAGCTCACGCTAGCAAATGTTATTCGTCTGATTTTGAAATGTGATTCGAAAATAATACGAATAAGCTTTCAAAGTTATCGGTTTCTGGTCAAAAACTCGAAATTTTTTAATGAAAACCATATCTTTACTATACATGACTGGAAAGAGCTTTAAAAAACGGGCAAAAATGTACTTGCAAAATTTTTCTAAAGTGGACATTTTTTTTGAAAATTTCTCCAAGTACTTTTTTTGTCTTTTTTATCTCTTTCTATTCTCTTTCCTCTTCCTCTTCGGAAGCATTTTGGGAATTGCATTCCACAGAAATTTTACAGGTTATACACAGGGCCGGATCTACATATTTTGCGCCTACGGGCCCCTCGAAATCGCAGCCTCCTTCCCCCTCCACTCCGCCCGCTAACCAGAGCTGAGTATTGCTCGCGAGAGTTTGGCTTGAAAAAAACGCTCCAAGGGTTTTCACAACGGTTGGCTGCTTGGTGCTCGATAATTGAGCGTTTTCTTAAAGTGCTCACCGCTTGAGCGCTTTGTTCTGCCCATGAGCTTTTTCGGCTCTTGAGCGTTTTCTCCGTTCACGAGCACTTTTCCCGAGCGCTCGCGATAAACCGCTCGAGCACATTTAGGAGTGCTTGAAACTCGCAAGCGGTTTCACTTTGCAAAACAGCTCGATCCTAGCGATTTTTGAGAACGCTCGACTCAGTTCTGCCGCCAACCAATTAAAATCATTTAATACCGCCGCTCCGTGTGGGGCAGTTCAGTTAAAGTTGAACTGTGGTGCTAAGGGTCCCTGGTTCGAATCCGGGTTTGGATATGGATATTTATAAATGTATAGAGTGGGTTGGGTTGGTAGAGCACCCTTGGCTGAAACTCCGCCCACTCAAAAATAAAGCAAAAAAAAAAATAAATAAATACCCCAACCAAAATTATATTTTACTTTTTACAGAAAAGTGTCATCATTTGCTCAGATTGAGTTAATTAATAACATTTTTTATATTATTTATGAGTGTTATTCAAACAAAGTATAATAATATCTGTTGTTTGAACTACAAACAAATAACTATTTAATTTTTAGAGAAATTTACTCGTTTTTAGCGCATTTCAAAATAAAAAAAAATGCGCTATTGTGGCCACTTTGTCCGTCCGTCCGTCCGCTCGTTTTGAGACGCTACTAGTTTTTTATCTTAAGAGCTATTGTTCTACTTTTTTCGCTATTTGGTTCGTTATGGTGTCGAGTCTTGCACCAAGGAAGGAATTTTTTCTGTACCGCTTACAAAAAGTTATTGTAAGAAAAACAAAAAACCGATTTTTACATGTTCCATAATTTTACACTTTTGCCGTTTATTAACGATCCTACAGATCGTTTATAATTTTGCATTGCTGTCTGTCGTCTGCCTGTTGGTCTGTCCGTCTGTTCCTTTGTCTGTCGGTCCCTCTATCTGTCCGTGTGAACGATAACTTTGTTTAGAAATGTCCGTTCGCTTTGACATCTCCGTTAGTTATGAACTGAATTGCATGAAATTCAATATGGGCATAGCTTTAGCCATATAATACGCAATGCCAAAAGTTTAGTCGAATCGATTCAACATTCACAGTGCCCTTTTCGCATCTCGACCATTTATAAACCGAATTGCAAACTTTTTTAATTATAAAAGTATTTAAATGAAATTTTATACATAGCCACTTAAAATAAAAGCAAATTTAACGCCAATTTGAAAATTTGGTTTTGCGCATGCGCAGTGCCAACTTTCTTATTTATGGAGGGATTTAAATGAAATTTGATACATAACTACTTGGAATAAAAGCAAATTTAATGCCAGTTTCAAAATTTGGTTTTGCGCATGCGCAGTGCCAACTTTCTCGGACGTACGTACGTACATACATACAGACGGAAAAAAATTATTCTTTAAAAGTTGCTTAAAATGTCGACAGTTGATGAAATTTTGACGTCCAAAAAACGGTGATCGCAATGGCCACCCAGCTCAAGCTAAAAAAAACCTACTGAAATTGGATTTGGTAGTCAAAATAAAATCACATCTTCTTTGCTTGGATTTCAATAAAAGAAAACCAATTTAGTGGGTTCTTTCTTCTAATTCTTTTAGGTCAACTATGCCGTGCTGAATTTTCTTATTAATATTCAATATTCAGTGAGGGGTAATTCATAAAGACCGAGACTACTAAAATCAATATAATGTTGCTCATATTATTGAGAAAATCATAAATAGAAAACCTGTCAAAGAGATATGCAATTTGGAATCGCATTTTTTATTTAATTTTTCGTCAATAGCAATTCAAGTACACCAAACCAATTTTGAAGTCACATTTCAGAGAAGGAACAAAAATGAGGAATTTTCAGTCACCGTAAATTGTTTTATTGCGGGATACCCGTAATTTTTTCTGGAGTTTACTGAAAGTCAAAATTTTGTTTCAAGAAGGTAGGTTCAATTCCCTTTTATTCCAAAAACTTATTGCAGTTTCAGTATTAAAATTTGTAGGGTTAATTAATGGATCGACTCCTTCAGCAACATTAATTCAGTGTGTTATGTGCAATTGATAATTTGCTGCAGTATCGTTGATGTACCTTTTTTGGTTTGGACAAGGCTAGGATTGGTTAAATAGTGAACGCGCGTACTTATTTATTATATAACAATTTATTGTGCAACATCCTATTTATTGGAGTTTTAGAATAAGTCGGTTCACGTCCAGTTATTATTTGAATACAGCTAAACACTTTCTACCTGCTAGTTCGGATATTTAGTAGAAGATTCTTCTGAGTGTATCTCTGGAGTAAGGAGGTTGCGCAATTTTCAAGTTACCGATAGCAATATGTATTGGCAACTTGCCCTCGCGATTTTGAACTTTCACATCAGCTCCATATTTTAGCAGTAGTTTTACAGTACCTTCCATTGAACGCTTTACCGCCACGTGAATCGGATAATCAAAGTCTCCTACATTTGGGTCGGCTCCGTTTTGTAAGAGAAGTTGAATCATCTCTGGATCGGAATATAGCCGACCTAATTGTCGAATGTGGAATGCCCCAAGCAATGGCGTGTATCCAGATGAGTTTATCTCATTTACGATTGCGCCGTGTTCAATCAGTATTCTCGCCATATTAATTCTTTTTTTTAACACAGATAAATGAAGAGGGGTGTTGCCATCTCTGTTTGGCATGTTAACGTTCGCCCCAAATTTGATACACAGTCTCGTCAGATCCTCATTACCTTGTTCAACGACGTAATGAAGCGGCATAGAACCCGAGGCATCTTTACAATTTACGTTCGCACCGTTGATCAACCCTTCCACCACATCAGTGTTACTGTTTTTTATTGCTATAATCAGGGGGGTCTCGCCATATTTGTTTGGAACTTCCACACTTGCCTCATGTGCCAGAAGCATTTGAACAATTATCTTCTTGTCAGCACTAACACGCCCCACTGCCAAATGCAGTGGAGTATTACCTTGGTAATCTGTACAATTAACATCGGCGCCTATCCTTAAAAGCGATTCTACCAATTGGAATGCCCCCCTACGCACTGCCAGGTGAAGTGGTGTGTTGCCAGAATTATCTCTTAAGTTGATATAATTGTTCGTTGTAGTATAGCAACTACTTATAATAAAGCCATTATCTGAAACAACATCTAACAAAAGCAACCAGGAAAAGTAGTAGATGATGAGTTTAGACGCAACTAACCTTCATATCCTTCTCCCGATGGAAACCTTGATGCAAGAAGACTAAGTATTATCAAAACCAACATGGCGTGCTTCTCCAGTTTACAAACGTAATGTAACAACGTAACAATCTCTTAGACTCAATCAAAGTTCGTATTTATTTGTATGTTTGTTTATATCTATCTTATCTAAAGGCTGCAGTAATGTTTTGACAGAGAATTAAAAACGCTGATTTGGGGTAATTATTCGTAGGGGGGGGGAGCTATTGGGGGGATAGGAGGTAAACACAAAACAACCCTATAGTAAACTAAGGTCCCAAAATCAGTGCTTCTTCTTTTTAAATAAAAATTCCTTATTTGATCTGTTATTACCTACCTTGATTTTTGAATCCGTTAGAGTCCCTAAGGGACTGAGACGTTTCTTGTATTTGTGTATTCTAGAGTAATCTTACATCCTAGGGTCAGCTTTAATAGCGGGAGGAAAACAGAAATATCATGCTAAAGTGCCTGAATTTTAGTGTTGAAAACACCCATGCGGAGCCTAGTTTCCAAGTTTATATGAAACGCTCGAATGTTAAAAGGCTAGGGTGGGGAGGAGCACATTTGAAATGCGACAGCTACAGTTCGTGAAAGTAAATGAGTAGTGTAGTTGCTGTGGCTGTCCGTCCAAGAGAACGGATGGACCGATTACGATGAAATTTTGCAGGTGGATTCTTTATCAAATTTGTAGATCGGAGTTCGCGAATTGACAATGTAGGCCAAAAAATAAGGAAAGCCCTTTTGACATCTCCGTTAGTTACGAACCGAATTGCATGAAAATTCAATATGGTCATCTAGGTAGCTTTAGCCATATAATACGCAATCCCAAAAGTTGAGTCTAATCGATTCAACATTTGCAGTGCTTACTTTGTCGTACCTCGGCCATTTATGAACCGAATTGCAAACTTTTTTTATTTACGAAGGTATTTAAATGAAACTAACGACGTTTTCAAAATATTGTTTTACGCATGCGCAATGCCAACTTCCTTATTTATGAAAACATTTAAATGCAATTTGATGCATAGGCACTTAGAATAAAATGAAATATAACACCAGGTTCAACTTTTGGTTTTGGGTATGTTATAGCCATACTCAGGAGCTCGTTTGCTATATTTATTTACACATAGCAACTGACCCACTGAATAAGTGTTATTTGTGTTTTACATAGTATGACGTTATACCGTTATCATTTCCAATGTTAAATCTGTATATGCCACATTACAAAAAGTGTGTTAGATCTGAGACCGGACACATTAAAAATCCAAATTTGATTCGGCTTAAAGAGCCAATATTTTAAAGCGCTGTTTCCGAGATTTAACTAAAATAACTCAGGCCTAAAATACGCGATAACACTTATTCCCCGCCCCGTACCGCACCTACTCTGTCTACCTACTAGCGCTAAATATGTTTATCTAACTAATACCTATAAGGGCTTTTACCGAAGAGTTGCGCGAGCTGTGTCATGATTTTAGGGAACAGTCGCACACGTTTTCGTGCTTGTAAAAGAATCCCCGTATTGACCGTACTCTGCGTTCCAATTTTTCCCGTTTTGCGACTTTAAACGCAAAAAATTCATAAAAAAGGTGCAGAAATATTCAACAAGTTAAAAAGTAATCGTAAATGATTTACATAAAGCGCATTTCCACTTGCATTCATTTCCCAGTTGTAAGATGCAACTTCTGTTAAAATCGTAAAAATCCGGCCACAAATATGAAAGATAGCGTTGCACATGTGCAATCCATTGTTGACGTGCTGCTTCAATTTCAGTTTATGAGAAGAATTTCATTTCAATGCTTTTCTAAATAAGAAAGTTGGAACTGCGCATGCGCAAACCTAAATTTTGAAACTAATGTTAGATTTTCCTTTGTTCCAAGCGCCTATGTATCAAATTTCATTTAAATTCTTCCATAAATAAAAAACTTGGCACTGCGCATGCGCAAAACCAAATTTTGAAACTGGTATTTGATTTTCCTTTATTCCAAGTGCCTATGTATCTAATTTCGTTTAAATTCTTCCATAAATAAAAAAGTTGGCGCTGTGCATGCGCAAAACCAAATTTTGAAATTGGCGTTTGATTTTCCTTTATTCCAAGTGCCTATGTATCAAATTTCATTCAAATACTTTTATAAAAAAAAGTTTGCAATTCGGTTTATAAATGGTCGAGATGCGAAAAGGACACTGTGAATTTTGAATCGATTCGACTCAACTTTTGGCATTGCGTATTATATGGCTAAGGCTATGCCCATATTGAATTTCATGCAATTCAGTTCATAACTAACGGAGATGTAAAAGTGATCGAACATTTCTAAACAAAGTTATCGTTCACACGGACAGATAGATGGACAGACAGACAAAGGAACAGACGGAGAGACCAACCGGCAGGCGACAGATAGCAATGCAAAATTATAAACGATCTCTAGGATCGTTAATAAACGGCAAAAGTGTAAAATTATGGAACATGTAAAAAACGGTTTTTTGTTTTTTTTACAATAACTTTTTTTGTAAGCGGTACAGAAAAAATTCCTTCCTTGGTACAAGACTCGACACCATAACGAACCAAATAGCGAAAAAAGTAGAACAATAGCTCTTAAGATAAAGAACTAGTAGCGTCGCAAAACGAGCGGACGGACGGACGGACGGACAAAGTGGCCACAATAGGGCATTTTTTTTTATTTTTGTGGAAATGCGCTAAAAAGGTATCTATATTTGAACATGCATTAAACGTGCCTAGGGTATATACGTGCCTTGTAAGATATGTATACTAACTAGGGATATGCGAATGGGAATATCTCTGAGAATAAACTTCAGAGAATATTTTTCTCTATTTTTCTGAACATTTTTAGAACATGATACGCGTATACCTATACCACTTGGGATATTCTCACAATAAACTTACAGAATATTCCGAGTTTATTCTCAATAATCTTTGTATATAAGGTACATATACTATTTGGGATGTTATGAACATAAACTTGAAACAATGGTATCCGTTTCTTCTCAATATTCTTAGAACATGCTATGTATTTACAGAGAAAGGGCGTTCTCAGAATACGTCTGTAGTCCTCATATATGATTTAACTTATTGGCATGCCATAATTATACCTATTATTAGCTCCGTTCTTATAAAAACGAAATATCTCTAGACAGTTCTTTTGTTCACGTTCGCTACGAAGCGGTACATGTGTAAATTCTCCTATGTTTAATAAAATTAAAAATTAATTTTTTAAAACAGATAAAGCGACCACCCGTTACAGTACTCGTTACGGCTTCAAAAGTAGCGACCTCAACTAAAAAAATTAGCCCTGCTGGCGAGATAATTAATTAATTTTAGTAGACCCTGTAACAGTCAATTCTAAATAAACACATATAAATCATCAATCGTTCATCAATAATACGCGACTCAAATTCTTTATCGATAGTTCTCACAGAACCTTATCGTCTTTGAATTCTTCCACGTTTATACTATGTGCCTGGCCGGCTCGAATTTCAAGATATTAGCTAAGGACGCATGCAGACTGGGTTCATGGCAAACAAAGGAAACACAACACGTTGCAATTTTGGGTGACCATTAATAAATGGAAAGTTTTCGATTTATGGTGAAATTCAGTTGTAAATATTGTTGTACTTAATACAGAACTTATTTGCAATGCGCACTGTTTTACGATCTAATTATTGTTGGTTTATTGCCGAGTTAATTTGGTATTTTACTATTGCTACGCACCCGGTGCTGTCTAAATTACTTTACACCGCGTTAAAAATAATTGCGTGATATCCACGTAGCTATGCACAATCACATGATAAAAACAGACCGCTAAGTATACAATGCGAATTTTTCCACGTATAAAAATCCTTTTAGACGAAAAGCCAGTGACCAATTTTAGATTGTCATTTCAAAATTCACACAGTAAATCCTCTATACCTACTGCCTTCTGAGGTCGGGATAAACTACCCTAGCATTTTAAACAGGATAAGCTCTGGCCAAAATATGAGTCATAAAATTGCTTTGGGTAGTATTTTTTATTCATATCATTTTTATGAGAACAATCCCATCCTTCCTGATTGTTGACAGAACACTATAAATACCTCATTTACTCAGCAAAATCAATGCACAGATGAAAACTCAGCTGCACTTCAAAAACATTCGTACACGACTACTGAGATTTTGAATCGTTACAACACTCCCAAACCGTTAGAAGAGCCACACCTTTTGTTCATACCTGAGTATATGTGTGTTCTCTTTCAACCTGCAGGTCGCCATGTAGCTGTCTCATTTTCTCTCGTTAGGGATCGTTTTTCGCTCTGACAGATTGTCCGTGGTAGAATTTTGTTTGGCTGAGGTAGCTTACCCCTGGCACAGAGGGCTATGAACTATTCTTCTCTAATGCTTCCACGTAAATTTCCAGCTTAGTTACCAGCAATTCTCTCGTGCCCCACTCCCCCCATTAGTTCCACAACCACTCATACTTAACATGTAACGAAAGTATGTCTGAAAATGAGAGGGATAACGGCGCGCATTTGGAATAAAACGCAGGCTGTGTTAAATAAATAAGCGCATTATAAATAAAGAACTCCTATCTTCAAGTTTAGTGATTTCATTCAGAGATGCACTGAACTATAAAGAGAGTCTGTAATCAGGGGCATGCGGTAAAAATTTGTGCGTTTAATCTGCAAAACCCATTTAAAAATGGGCAAAATTCAAACTAGTAGGAAATTGGTTTCTTATTCCTCAGCATGAACTAGATCACGATCCATATTTTCGAAAACCTGAAACAGTTTTGCTTGTATTCGCAATTCATACGGACAACTTTGTACTATTCAACAAGACACTGATCTTACCAGCGCCAAAAGTTCAGCTGTACCGTGTAAGGAATCCTTTGCATAGCAATTTTGTTTATCGTAATCATAATATTCCTAAAGGAACCGACCTACGGAAATAATTTGCATGAATCAGATTTGAATTGTATTTTTTTTATAATAATCGTATCCAAACAAAGAATTTTGGTTATTTTGATGAACGATACCGATATATTCATACCAGGAACCTGTAAAAGAAAATGGAATTGAATCGACATTATTTCTCTTAATATAAACAATCAATTCATTGTACATGCGTATTTAGTATTTAGTCGAGTTCAATTAAACCAGAGTACGTTTTGATTTTCAGATTTAAAGAGGAGATAAAAGGTAAGGGGTATAAAAACATTCTTATTACTGAGCTCGCCGTGGGTAAAATAAAATTAATTTCCAGGTTACATAGCGGATTTGCTTGATCCAACATTTCGGGATTGTAATTTGTAAATATAGCCTATGGCAAGAATAACGCTAAATAATTATTCGCGATTCCTCTTCTATTTCATATTCCCATTACTCAGTAAAAAGCTTGTATTAGCTAAAATTAAAATTGGAATCTTTACATTTAATGTAATGTTCATTTCAGGTAATGTACCCTACTTAGATACGAAAAACGAACACGGTGAAACTCCGCTACACATTTCTTCCCAAAACGGAAATGAACGCATAACCCAACTACTGTTATCACTTGGAGCCAATATATCCGCAACAAACGCCGATGGAAATACGCCGCTGCACCTGGCAGTGCTTTACGATAGCGTTAACACCACAAAACTGCTGTTAGAACATGGTGCTGATGTAAGCATTAAAAACGACGACGGAAACGATCCATTTCTGATAGCTGCAACCCCGGAACTCCAAAACATGGAAGTAATGAGGTTCTTGATCGACAGTGGCGCCTCCATCGATACGATAAACAAGGACGGGGACACCGCGTTGCACATAGCAATTTCTTGCAACAACGCGCCCATGACGAAACTATTGCTGGACCACAGCGCCGATCTAAGCGTAGCAAACAGCAATGGAGACACTGCAATGCACTTATTGGCCAAGAACGGTTACGGCAACATCTTCGAGCTCATTTTGAACAAAAGCTTTGATCTTAACGTGCAAGATAAGAACGGCAATACTCCGCTCCATATCGCATGTTGGTTTGATAATGTCAACGTAACCATTTTTCTAATTGAAAATTACGCGTCGGTCGATTCCAAGAACCTAGACGGCAACACACCACTATTTTTGGCGATTTGGAGCGGGAACGCGGAGGCGGTGGAGCACCTTCTAAATTACGGCGCGTACGTCAACTTCGTTAACAGTAACGGAAACACGCCACTTCACGAGGCCATACTTCGCAAAAAAAGTCATTTGGTAAAACTGTTGCTCGACCATGGCGCCGATTCGAAGGCGGTCAACGGGCAGGGTAACCTACCTTTACATTTGGCCCTGTTCAATGATGATACGGACACGGCGGAGAAACTTATAACGTTTACTAATTCAAATCAAGATGTGGATGTTCATGTAACAACAACACATACTACGGTATATGGGGAGTATGAAGACCCTTAACGCTGTAGTAATAATATGCGTTGAAAAGCTTTGTAGTGTATAATGTAGATGGTATGGCGACTGTAATCTCAATCTTTGCCGTATTAAAAGGAATACGTTATTTTTTATTTATTTATTTATCTAAAATTAATCCAATTGCATTTCATCTAAGGTTGTTTGTAACATTAGTAATTAATTATTTGATTATTTGACGAATGTTCACATGTACCGCTTCATAGCGAACGTGATCGTAAGTGTGCCTGGCGATAACAAGAAACGTATTGCGGAGACCGAGCGCGATTGCCACGACCTCTTGGGACCTAAAAGTTTCGTTCCGTCATGTTTAAAGCCGTGACAAAAATGCAGGTTTACTATTCGTTTAAAAGGTTACGCTTGTATAGGTCCTCGCAGAAAGGAATGCCCGTTTCGGTATTTCTACCGGTCGAGATTCAAATAGCGAGAGTGAGTTCACGAGTCGAAACGTACTATTTGGGTGCGTTAAAAATTAGATTCGAAGACGATTACGTACACTGTCTGTGCGTGAATTTTTATACCGTTGAAGATTCGTTCTAAGTTGGTTTTCGCAAACCATCGCGAACCGTTTTAAGTGCGGTGAAGCTTAATTTTGTGTTGGGACGATAGTTTTAGCCTAACGTGTAACAAGGCCGTTCATTTACGAGTGATACAATTTGCCAGTAGGAGCGTTTTTAAAGTCAAACCGCGAGTAAATAAACTGACAATTAATCGGTGAAAATTGCTATCGACACAGTGGAACATTAGCATTTTATTCCTTTGCATAATCACGACCTCGAGTATTACTTTCACGAAAGTGAAGCCGGTTTGCTCAGATTCGCAATACGTAGAGGCATGTTTGATAACGGAGCGATCTGTTTCCATATTTCTAAAGGGAGCGGTATTTTCCAGGGAGAGATAAGCCCATTAACCTGAAAAGAATCTCATCCACGTCAATTACCGTACGTTATTTTTAATTTTTTAATTTGTTTAAGTAGCGATCGATTATTTTTAGGAATTTGTATAATACCTACTTTTGTTTGAAGTAATTTTAATATTCCTAAAGAAATGAACCTATGAGAACAGTTTGCATGAACAGGAGGTACCAGTAATTCATTATGTAGGAAACATGAATTTTAAATAATTATCAAATTTGGCATGGAGACGTGATCACGAGATAGGAGTAGGGTAGGTTGGGGAGAGCTGCTACACCACCACCCCAAAGGTCACCACACGTTCAAGGTCGAGGTCATGGTTACTTCAAGATTACCACAGATTCAAGGTCGATGTGATTACCACTCCTCAAGTACAGTTAAACGAGTCGCCCATCACCAGGATACATAAAACACAAGTACTTTTTAACATATATATTTATTTTTTAAGATACAGAGCTCATACTTTAAAAAATATAGATATACTTATTTCGTGACAGTGCAATGAAAAAGGGGGATTGAAACTTAAATGGAAATTATGTAAAACAAGCATTTGTTAAAATTGTTTGTTATACATACAAAGCCAATTATTAACTACATCTCTATATCTACTATAATATTCTCTACAAGATTCTGATAAACTAACCCTATTCCAATACGTTGTATTATGTAATTCTAAATAATCTAAAGCTAACATCCTTAAAATAATCGCTATTAAATAAATCAATATTATGCCTAACTATATTTAAACTATCTACTAAACTACTTATAAGGGTTTTACTTAAAACTAAATCGCTATCTATTTCTTCGATTATTTCTATTATAGTCTCTTTGGCCTCCTCTTCAAACTTAACCAGATCAATGTCCGCTAGTTTAGCATGTTTCCACTTCAACTCGGCTTGGACAATGACCGGTAAGTTGCCCCATTCCAAATGCCTGGGTAACATTTTCTTCATGCACAGGTTATACAGCGTATCGCAATGGGTAACACGCTCCATCGCACGTTTCCGTATAATACCTTGCATAAAGTCCGTGAATCTTTGCAGCTTAAATGTCCAATTATTCATAAAGGACATTCGCATAGCATCGAAGAAGTGGGAGGCCACTAATAACTCTTCAAAGTCAATATTATGTCGATCACTTAATGTATCTAAATCGTTTTCACTCAAACTTAACCCCCATGCACTTATTAAATCACCCATTGTACTCAAACTTGGTCGTAAACGAGTTTCACACTGTAAGAATCGGGCGCGAACTACTACGATGTACCATAGCATTATCTTTCGTTATATATATCCAAATACCCCACTAAATTTAACTTTGAACTTTCGTGCGGACATTACACTTGTACGGAATGCAGTTTAATGCATGCGGACATGAACTTTCGTGTGGACATTGCACTTCTACGGAATGCGGTTTAATGCATGCACACAAACTCCTATATATACCAACACCTGCATTTAAACTTCAATTCCATTTCTTACCTTTATACCGGTAATTATGTCTTACGTTGCTTCAAATTTCGCTATGTGCGGTGATTCTACCGATTGTGTTACAGTGCAAAGTAGTGGTGCAATATTGGTTGCTAGTGCCCCGATTTGTACAAAAATTAATATCCTTCAAAATGTGGTGGTTCGCGCTGCTCGGTCAGCACGTCCATCCATTTTACGTGCATTATTGGCACGAGAGTCCGTGGGGCAGAGCACACAAGTAGCTGAAGAAGGTTGTAACCCAATAGCAGTTCCTTTACCTCTATCCCGGGATGGTTCTTCTGCTGATGATTTTAAGGACTTCCCGGAGACCTTAGAATGGTTAGTTGAGAGGACTCTATCACCATCAAAAATTTCTGAAAAACCCATTAATTTAACAGAAATTTTTGGTAGCATTACACCTACAGAGAATATAGTTGAGGTAAGTGATGTTGCGGAGCCTTTAGTAGTGTCTGATGCGGACTGTATTGTTGTCTCAGATGATAAATGTACACAACATCTATCATCTGAAGCACACAATCATTATCACACACAATCGTTATCTAAAATAACAATACCGTCCGTATCTATTACCTCTGAGGAAGTGCCATCATTTATTCTTGATGAGAATTGTATTGTTGCATTCAATTAAGAGTGGTCGATCACTCCTTCATTGAATGCTACAATGCAATCCTCTTCTGTAATGGATTTTCCTCCCCCTGAGGTAAGTGATGTAGCAGAGCCTTTAGTAGTGTCTGAGGCGGACTGTATAGTTGTCGCAAATGATGCATGTACACAGCATGCATCATCTAAAACAACAATACCGTCCGTATCTATTACCTCTGAGGAAGTGCAATCATTTATTCTTGATGAGAATTGTATTGTCGCATTCAATGAAGAGTGGTCGACCACTCCTTCATTGAATGCTACAATGCAATCCTCTTCTGTAATGGATTTTCCTTCCCCACCTTATTCCGAGGATGATGCCGTGAAATATATTGCACCACTACTCCCCATGGCTACTCCAAATATAGAAAACGCCATACGTCGTTTATATCAGCTCGGATGTGACTATATTTATGCCAATAATGCCCGTTTAGGAAAACACCCACGTTCAGATGCCTATTGGCATCTGAATTCTAGGGTATCACGAATCGGAAAAATGAACAGTGCACTAGCACATAAGTTATTCAGAAATACAAATTATAATCAAAATTTTAAATTTGCTTTAAAAAATAACGTAAACATGAACCATTTAAATTTACTGTTTCGTTTGAATAAATATTAGATTCGTTCCACTTTCCTCATTTACACCTATCCCTCTTTCCTTTTTTTCCTGACGACGATTCTATGTTGGGTTCCCGTCCCGTCGTTGAACAATGCGAAAACCGTTTGACATCTAAATTTTATTTTTCGTACTTCCGAGACTAAAGTGACAACTTCACTCCATTATGACAAGTACTGAAGTGTCACTTTTTGTCCCGCCGGGATTAAATTTTGACGAAAATCCCGGAAGGATGAAATTACTAACAAGGCAATTTCAGTAGGTTGGTCCACATTTCGTATGCGGCACTACTTCTTAAACGCATCGTACTGCTGCTCATATAGTTTTTTGGATTTCGGTGGTACCTACTTTGGCTGCTTTTTATCAATATCAAATACACCTTTGTCACCCACCACCAAAATTATGACACTAGTAATGACAGTTTCCAAATTATTTTTGCTACCATAGCCACAGTGTCGTACCAACGCAACGTTCCTATGGTAACTGGTTAATCAGCGATTTTTTGAAAGAACGCGTTCTCTAACTCCATACATATTAAGTGTTTCAGTTTCGGAAGTACGAAAAATATCGTATATACCTTGCGACTGAAGTAGTGGTCTTAATCCCTCAGGTAAATTATGGCCCTCCCTTCGGTCGGGCCATAAACTTTACCTTCGGGATTAAAAGTACTACTTCAGTCCCGCGGTATATAATATACTATTATTTATTTTGACAACGAAAAGCATTGACAGAAACATAGCTCTTTTGTTCATCTTCTTCTTTCCGTGTTATACAACCTTATATACATTGAACTTGTATAAAAGCAGGTGCTTATATAAAAGGTTGCATAGTACATCATATTACAGTGGCGAAATGATTACCTGCACAGCATGCGATAAAATTTTTTCACGAACTGATGCATTATTACGTCATAAACGTCACCATTGTCTCCTTCGTAATTTGCATCCACACGATGAAGAAAAACCATCTTGTTCTGGGGTGAGAAAGACCAAACGTTGTAAAATTGATTCACCTAGTGAAAGCAGTACCAATGTAGAAAAACCATCTTGTTCTGGGGTGACAAGGACCAAACGTTGTAAAATTGATCCACCTAGAGAAAGCAGTAGCAATAACGACAACAGTAATTTAACGTAACGTAACGTAACGTATTTTCTTTTTCTTCAATGCACCGAGAGCCCTTCGGACGGTTGTTTGTAAATTGGAATGTATTTTACCACCTATACGTTTTCTGGCTAATTTGATAGCGTTATTGAAAGTAATAGGAGCGTTCCGTTTTCTCTTTTCCTTTGCACCCATTCCGAATGTTCTCTTTCCCTTCATTGCACCTGCGACAGTAAGAGCGGCTGCCTTTTCACCAAAACTGGCGTCTTTGGAGCGAAATCTAGTCCACGCTTTCTGTTGTAGTACCTTGTCCGCCTTATGACGGTCACTTAACTCTGTAGACTTTGAGTATGCAATATCATGTTCCTTACAAGCTTCGTCTAAAGGGTTGACTCCTGTGTCACCACGTGCCAGGCGCTTCTGTAACCGTGTTCCTGGACCACAATATCGATATCCGGGCAAATGTAACTCGACAGGTAATTTATTTATAAGAGTATTAAGGACTCCTTTACCCTTTCGGTTAGCTTTATGAATTTTCTGAGAATAAACCTTCATGGATAGGTGTTGCTCCTGCAAGGAGTTTATTTAATATGCGAATCGCACACACACTTCTCCCAATTATATAGCCTCGTATATATACGTGGTGAGCAAGACAACAACCTCTCAGTATCACAATGACTACAATCCGCTTTATGCCTCAACTTATACAATTACCTATAAAAAACTACGATTCATATTCTACAGAAACGCAATATCCAAAACATAGTGACCTGTTGCAGGGGGGATGTAGAAGAGGATTAATAGTAGGTCCTTCAGGATGTGGAAAAACTAATGTTATGATAGCGTTATTAGAACATCCGAATGGTTTGCGGTTTGAAAACGTGTATGTGTACACCAAGTCCCTATGTTCAATGATTAACGCAAAACTATCCGTCGTACGTTAATTACACGGTTCGGTTGTAGAATCAAAGTCTAAAACTCTTAAAATTCTTCTATTGTAATTTATACAGACCTTTATTAAAATAATCGTTTCTGTCACGTCAAAAACTTTATTTATCAATGCCATCTCATCTCTAATCAAATATTAATTAATTCTAGTAGGTGTCTCTGACATCCTCCCACCTGAGGCAAACTTTTAACAAAAATGTGGCTCATAAGAAATCAGAGATACCGTGAACAAACAATCAGAAAATAAAAGTTAACATATGAAAAGGAGTTAATTTAAATCCTATAAAACTCTGAATATTTTGAAGGTGTTTTAATCTTCCGTCCACTCCGCGTAACGTAACGTATATCACTTTTATACGTTTCGGGTACTCTGCTTTTTGACACTCCCGTTTTCGCGTCATCGTCCTCAATTACACTTTCAAAAACAGGCACTTCAATATTTTCACACTGACTTCGAGAAGAAATATCTGAGTCGTTATTCGTTCTATCCTCATTTAGAGTAAAATCGACGGCGCACTCCAGAGGGTACAAACGTTGTACAGGTCTCAGAAGTTGTCCCCTTTCGGTAATAACTCTCACAAGTCGCTTATTGCCATCCTTTCCTGGAAGAAGGGTTACCACTCGACCAAGCGGCCAGTTAACTCGCTTGTCTTTATCATTACCAACCAACACGATATCCCCCACTCTAACTTGTCGGTTACATCGCCCCTTGAACCATAATTTTAACTGCCCTAAGTACTCATTGCGGAATCTTCGTCGAAGATCAGCAACCAATTTTTGCCGATACACAACTTTCCTAGATAGAGTCTTTTGATCAACCGCATCACAGTCTGAAACTCCACTCTCTACTTGATCTCTAAGGAACATCATGGGCGTTAAAGGTACTAAGTCTTTTGCATCATCAGAACAAATAAGTGGCCTTGAATTGATCACGGCTTCACAATCACACATTACTGTCATTAAACTTTCATAGTCCAGTGAAGAACGTCCCAACACTTTGCGTAATAACTGCTTTAAAACTCCCACAAGTCTTTCCCAAAAACCTCCCCACCACGCTGCCGTAGGTGGGTTGAATCGCCATTGAATACGTTCAATACCACTGCTCTTGGCGATTTCTTCAAAGTTTACTCGCGAAAAAGCATTTTCAGTGCCTACAAAATTAGTCCCATTGTCACTATATATAGTCTTCGGACGACCCCGTCGGGCAATAAACCGTCTTAAAGCCTGCATGAAACTAACCACCGATAATGCAGTACAAATTTCAAGATGTACAGCACGATATACGGCACACGTGAAGAGGCATACCCAAACCTTTTCTCCAGTTTTCAGATATAAAGGCCCCGCTAAGTCCACACCCGTTACTTCAAACGCGTTAGCATCCCGAACACGATCAACTGGCAAAGGAGGTGTCCTCACAACAAAAGGTTTGGCATTTTGTCTCCTGCACACTACACAACGTGAAATTGCTGATTTTATAGTTCGTCGTCCTCCTAGAATCCAATACCTTTGACGTAACTGACTCATAAGTCCCTGTCCTCCATTATGACATGATCTTAAATGCTCTTGGAATATAAGCTGATTAACCAAAAAATGCCTTGCTGGCAAAACTATGGGAAATAGAAAATTTTTACAATCGCTTCGATTACTAATTCGTGATTTCAACCGAATTAGATCGTTTTTGTCTTTATAAATGTCCATGCCACATAGTCTCTTATCGTTATTATTGGAAAAAGACTCCTTTTGCACAACTCGGAGGACAAATATTTCGGCTCGTTCAATTTCCTCAGAACTCAAGTTACCTTTGAGTCGATCTTTATTTCTTAAATTGTAAATGCATCGTAATATCCATGCACACATACGGAGGGTTTTTTGATAATGAGAAATATAATCGAAATGCCAATCACTTGATGACATCTTTGGTTGCTCGTCATTAATCAGTGTCGTAACCAATTTTTTCTTCCTCTCTTGATTGATCTCCTGTTCATTGTAATCTAGGTCTGATTGAGGATCAATAGATACATCTTGATAAAGCCATTGTGGTCCCTCCCACCATTTTGACTCAAGTAACTGTTTGGCTGAACAACCTCGTGAAGGAAGGTCAGCAGGATTCAATTTACCAGGGACGTGGTGCCAGTTTTCACTGCAAGACAATTTTCGTATTTCTGACACGCGGTTCCAGACAAATGTAGACCACTCTTCGGGTCTCCTCACCCATGACAATACGGTTGTCGAGTCACTCCAGAAAAAAGGTTCCATCTCCATGTGTAAGCTTTCCTTGACAGTAGTATATAATCTAACACCAATTACTGCGGCCATCAACTCCAGACGAGGTATCGACAAATTTTTTAATGGAGCTACCCTTGACTTAGCCGCTAAGAGATGTACATACAAACACACATCCGAATTCCTCTCAAAAATACTACAGCAGAGAAAGCTTCCTTGCTGGCATCGCAAAATGTATGAAGCGTCCAATGTTCTGCCTCCTCAGTACCAGCGTATATCCACCTAGGAATCTTTATGGCGTATAAATAAGAAAGTTCTTGTACCCAGATACGAAAACGAGTTTCCAGTTCATCGTCAACTTTATCGTCCCACCTCATTTGTTTTTCCCATGTTTTCTGTAACCACAACTTCGGGAGCAATGTAACTGGACAACTATAACCTATAGGATCAAACACCCGTTGTGCTTGTGACAGCATCAATCTTCTAGTTACCGGTTTGCTTAAGAGCGATTTGATGTCTTCGTCACCGTGGTTTATAGATAAAGTATCATTAAACTTGTCCCACTCTACACCCAGAACCACCGCGTAAGCGTTAGAGACATCCTCCTGGACTTGGTGAGTATACTCCCACCCTCTGAGATCGAATTTGCCCTCCGCCATTATAATAATGGCTTCTTTGATAAAGGTTTCCAATTCTCTCTCATTAGAAACACTAGTAACGCAGTTATCTACGTAAAAGCTGTTTGATAATTTCTTAGCAGTTTCTTTGGCAAAAGCGTATTTCGAGTCATATTCCTTCACAAATTTTGATGATATTCTAACGAAGCTCCCAACAAGAAAGGACTACTAGTAATTCCAAACACCACCCGTCGATGACGAAACACTTTGAGGTTGTTCTCCTTATCACACCATAAGAATCTAAGAAAATCTCTGTCCTCCGAATGTATACTGATCTGTAGAAAAGCTTTACTGATGTCGGAAATTACACCAAGTCTTTGCTGTCTAAACCTTAACAAAATAGCCGGAATTAGTTCAATTAAATTAACCCCCTTTTCTAGACATTGGTTTAATGAAGGGTTATCCTTTTCTCTGGCGGACGCATCGAAAACCGGTCGTATCTTTGTCGTTGTGCTGTTAGGTTTAATCACTGGCCGTAGATAATGGGCCGACTTGTTCACTTGATCCTCTAACACCTCTTCAATAATGTTGTCAGTTAGCCAGTCTTTAAATACTTGATCATACGCCTCGAAATAACCATCCTTAATGATTTTCTTCATTGTGTTATCCAATCTCCTCTTCGCCATGTAATAATTGCTAGGCAGCGCTGGATGTCCCTCTAACCATGGCAACCTGACTTCATAACGTCCATCTGTGTCAACAGAAATAGTCTCCAGAAAAAGTTCTTTTGCCGCTAATGCTGTTTCATCGCTAGTTTTCCTTTCTATTGGATCATTGATCCCTAGTACATCGAGCTCCCAGAGGTTAGTAATAGATGCATTATTGACAAAGAGAGAGAGAGAAGGTCATAGAGAAAGTGTTAGGCTTTTCGATTGGTACTTTTCCCATTAAAGTCCACCCTAGTAGGGTCTCTACTGCTACCAGGCCACAGTTCAAAATATGTCTTTTCCCGGTGTAAAGTTTACCCGCGATATCAGATCCTATCAACAATTCTATGGGATTAGAATCACACGCGTCTGATATTTTAATATTTAATTTACGCAGCTCTTCCATCCAAGGACCATCAAATATAGAAGATACACTATTGCAAATAACATTCTGGTCTAGAGCCTCGAAAGTACAACTATAAGTAACTATCGTGATTTAATTTAACATCATAGCAATCATGATTTTGTGTTAACTCACTTCCACCGAACAGACCATGAATGAGTCTAATTTTTCTTTTTGACTGATATCCCAAAAGTTTAGCTGTCGCTTTCAAAATATATGATTTCTACGAACCAGTATCTATCAATGCACGCCCGTATCTCGTTTTACCCAAATGAGTCATTTTTACAAGCAGCGTCTGCAAAAAAACCTGGGTACCCGTATTTAAATTGTTCCCAAGCGTTTGATCTACTTTAGTTGACGTTTCATCTTTAATCTGCTTTCGCTCTAAATTTTCCGGTTTTGTCTTATTAATTGACAGCGCCGGACACATTAAAGGTACATGAGATTTACAACAGATTATACAACTCAAATGTCCTCGGCATTTCCTAGCTTGATGACCCAATTTTAAGCAACGAAAGCAGGCCCCTTTTTGAACCAAAATCTCTCTTCTTTGCTCGTAGCTTAACTTTTGAGCCTTAAAGCAGTTGGTACTGTCGTGTGAATTTTGGCAAAAAAGACATTTGGATGTTATTTCTGAATTTATCAGATCCATCGCGGTAGGAAAATTTTCTACTGTTGTGCGAGATTTTTGACTAGGTCGTTTAACATCTCTCTTAGTCACACCACTTAAATCAAAACCTTCCACCGCTAAAGAAATATGCTGTTCATTATCAACTTCCTTTTTCAAAAACTCCATAAGATTTTTAAGTCGGTTTTCTATACCTAGTGGAAACGCCATCCGCATGTACAGAAGCACCTACATCGGGTATACGCTGCCAAACTCTTAATAGTTCTGACGGTAAATACGACTCTACTAACGGAAACAACATTGCAGCATATTTATCGGACTTTATACCAAGAGTTTGTAACGCGCGTAATTGAGCTTCTAGATTATCGTACAACAAAGAAAGATCTACTTTATTGTCCGAAGAAGTATTATTGATCACTAATTTTAGCAACTCCCGTACGTATACTTCTATGTGCAAATCGTCCCGCCCGAATCTCGAAATTAAACAGTCCACTATTTTAGCATAGTTGTCCCCAGTGGCAGGAAAACTATCAACTAATTGCCTTGCCCTGCTACCCACCAAAGTACTTTGCACCAGATATTCCACTTTGTCATTTAAATGTATATCCGGATCGTTGTGGGACCAGAAGGGCAACCAATTTCTAATACTCCCGTCAAACTTCTTAAGCTCTAGAGTAGGTAACTTAAATTTGCGCCTACCTGATCTGCCTCCTACATTACTTTCCGAGGCTACGGAGTTTACCTCTTCATCTAGTTCGCCTCGCGGCTTCTGTAACAAATCCTCGGCTTGTGCGTTCAAGTCAGTGAATTTCCTAATGTAAACTTCACTACCATCCATCTCTGCCAACAATTCTGCTTCACTTCCATCACTTTCCAATAGGGACTGGTATATATCGCTGTCAATTCTTCTTAAATCATCATATTTCTGTTTCAAAATACCCAGCGATACAGAGATTAAACGTGCCTTTCCTTCCGGCGCCGATAGAAAGTCTTCTAATTCTTTCGCCGATTTAGTGAAGGTGGTACGAAGTACTCTACGATGCCTTTTGGATTGATCCATGATTGTCAATGTACACCTGAACCAACTGTACACGTTTTTTACCGCAGACAACAATCGAAAACAATTATTCCAGGGGAAAAAGCCTGTCCTGTCACGGTCGCCAAATGTTCAATGATTAACGCAAAACTATCCGTCGTACGTTAATTACACGGTTCGGTTGTAGAATAAAAGTCTAAAACTCTTAAAATTCTTCTATTCTAATTTATACAGACCTTTATTAAAATAATCGTTTCTGTCACGTCAAAAACTTTATTTATCAATGCCATCTCATCTCTAATCAAATATTAATTAATTCTAGTAGGTGTCTCTGACATATCATCATGTACTTTGTACTAAAACTGCTTTAAGTTGGATAGAAAAAGTAATTTTTAAAAACTTCCTTATTCAAAGGGTTATTTTTATTTATTCATAGAATGAAGATGAAAGCCTACGATACTTACCAGGCCTCATAGGCGGACAAGACAAATTTCCCATTTTACTTTCACACGAGTAGGTATAACTAAAATACTTTATGTACTGCAAAATTCATATTAACGAAGATATAAGATATACTCCATACTTTTGACTGATAATATCTTTAATTTTATAAGTTTAATGTAAATTTGAATCTTACAAACACAATTTGAAAATCGATTACTACCAATTATTTGAAACACAATTCTTTTGCGCGTTCACTTATTCTTGAAATCGCGCTATTTACTTCAGCTGCTGAAAAAATGGAAACAAGAGACCATTTCTTAAAAATTCTTTCTGAAGAACATTTTTGTGTCCTTTGGCCACAATTCATTCGATATATGTGTTACATTATAGCAATAACAAAAAAGTTTCTCGCATGGTGAATTTTTCTCTCCGCGGATAATAAATGCGCGATTTTGTAGGGCCCGTTAAAACTATACTAATACCAGATAAGGCATTATATACACATAATTGGAGGCGCATATCATTCTAGTTTAAGACACCGAAAGGATTATAATGATATAGTTCCTAGGAAAAGAAATAATATGATGATGTAAAGATAGAAAAACGCGGATTTACTAACATCGTTTTATCTTCAATACTTTAAACCTAAAAATTAATTATTTTTAGTGTTATTAAAAATTAACGAACACCATAATTTGATTGTGTGTACTATTGAGAAGCTCTCATTGAAATTTCGTGGCTCTATGTTGAACGGACCCGGAGTAAAAAAATAAATAGTGGAGCCGCGCACGAATTTTCCATAAGCCGTAATGTATTTCATGACTCCTAACGTCACGTGACTTTTTCGAGCGCTCCGGCCTGTAAGTATCGTAGGCCCCGTTTAAACCCATTACCACAGATCTACACATACACAGATTGCTAACCTTATGCATTTTTTTGGAAACAAATTTAGGTATACTTAAAAGCGCCCTCTATTGTGGAGAAGTACAAACATGTATCGTTTAAAACTGTAATATGACGCTTATGGATTTATGCGTTAGATGTCGCTGAAACAAAATTAAAGCGCTAAAGTTTGCACAATTCGAATTCCTTAATATTCGTATTATTACAGTGATATGGTATGATAGGAGGTACGCTGAGCCATAATTAATAACGAATAACGAATTCGAATTATGCACACTTTACCGCTTTACATTTTTTACAGCGACATCTAATGCATAAATCCATAAGCGTCATATTACAGTTTTAAACGGTACATGTTTGTACTGCTCCACAATAGAGGGCGCTTTTAAGTATACCTCAATTTGTTTCCCAAAAAAATGCATAAGGTTAGCAATCTGTGTATGTGTAGATCTCTTAGACCATATAGTACATGGACTGCTATTAGCCCTATGCTTTCAATACAAAATGGGTGGTCACGGATAGAGGGCACTGTAGTCGTGGGTATGTGAATCTCAGGGTAAACTAAAGTCGTATGAACACCACTCGGATCGCGTAAAGAGTAGCTTTTATGTTAACCGCGAAGTACGGGAAGCTTTAAACATTCTTAATTATGTTCTATACGTCCACAAATAAGAACAGGTTTGCTTTTTTTTGCCATATCTAGGCGATTAATTAATTGACGTTTCTTAATTTATAGGTTGACAGCCTCAAATCGTGCCTAATCGGACAACTTCGGACAGACTCGTTTACCCTGAAACTCACATACCCAGGCGATGTCCTTGACTATATTTTAGTTACAATTAGCAGTCCATGTACTATATGGTCTAAGGTAGATCTGTGCCATTACCCAACCGCTAAAACAACTATTGACAGTTACTAAGTTAGATACCGTCAAAACAGAACTACCAAGTGTCAAACGTCAATCACCAATATTTTCCCAACAAACTCCGAGAACTTCCACTCCCCAAAAGGTGTCAAGAAACCTTTTTTCTATCAATGAACCCAGTGTTTTGCATGAACCTAGCATTTTAGAAGATAGCGAATATTGCGATCCCACTCCAGAAGACGATATTGATGTACCGACACTTGACGACTTGCGCGAGGAATTGTCCCACGTAGGAACGAATCCTGCATTTGAAGAATTTCTCGATCAATACCACGGTTTTCCAAAGATATATGTAGAGGGAATATTTAGGGACACGAATAACGAGTATGACCATAAGTATGGCGTCCGCTATGAACCAACATTAAACAAATTTTTCGTGGGTAATTCGGAATTAGATTTTGCTAAGGAAGATATTGTGATTGTGTCTTCTAAGGGAGAACGCTTCACATACAAGGGAACTCCAGGATTATTCGAACTACTCTTTAAAAGAAATCCCATTGGATTTAAATCTGCAGATTCTAAAGCTTATCGTGATATTATAATACGCACTAGTGCAGCACGTCGACATTATGATGCCAAAGTTCAAATCCAAGCAAGCGGTCAACCAAAGTATGTTCAAATTATTAAACCACTGTTGCAAGGATCAAGTTCATCAAGCGAATTCTCGTCATCACATCTAGGTCCAACACTCAGACAGCGCGCTCTAACCATTTCTACGAAACGAGGAGGTACTTTATCAACTCTACAGCTCAACAATAAAAAAATAGAATTTGTTCCTTGGAATGATCCAAACAAGTTAGTGAATTGGTTAAGGGTGTTATTAGGATCTAAGTCTGCCGGGTACACGGCAAATCATAATGAAATAATTTACATAACTGAAGAGTTGCGTAATTCTGGTATAATACAATGAGAAGGTATATTTATTTATCCGTAAGACCATGGCGCTTGAACTACCTTTAATAATTATGGGTTATCAACACAGTTTCACACGTAGAATTACTATTCATGGGGAAAAAGACCATATTTACTTGTTCCCAATGAAAAAAGCTATCGTTGCAACGTGCAGATGGTTCCCATCTGACGCTACAGTCCACATTGGTGGAAAAACCTATACGGATCCATCTACAATGAGAGGGCATGTGTTAACATTTAATGATCACATATCAGCACATTGTAAGAAGAAATTACAGAGGCCATTCTTGTTCGAGGTCATAATGTATATAGCTTCCCTATGTTACTTACTTAATATAATGGATATAACTTTGTCTAACTCAATAATTCGCCTTTTAAAACGTTCAGTATCTCTTGCATGTTGTTCCCATAATCCCATCCGAGCTGCGTGGTGCGCGAACTTCCACACGATCATATACCGCACTGTGTTTATAGAGTCATTAAATTTCACTCCCCCGTTGACATCTTCTCTTGGTAAATATTTTTCGATGTTATTCACAAAGCTGTCAAGTGATTTGGATTTTAAATCCTCAACAAGGTGTCGAAGGCACGAAAAGCAGTTTCTTGGTTGATCTTCGATGGTGAAACCATTTCCTTCTTCTTCCTTGTGTATTAATAAATACTCATGGCACAAGCTCTCTCCACTGGTGTACTTGTCCGCTAGGTTATGTAAATATTCATCACTGTACCATCTTCCCAAACCATACACTTGCTCGTGTTCAGCGTCAAAACACAAGTCCCTCATTTCCCTATGTAATCTCTGCACCGCCGAATATCCATCATAAGCAACAGGCCAACTCTGCTGACTATAGGCAAACCACATGATAACTAGTGTTTCATACAGAAACATGCACAAAATATATATACAATTCCCCCACTTAGTTTAACGACTTGATAATTTCAGCATCCCACATGAGTTTGTCCTTGACAAACAGTACCACTTCCATTAAGACGGCAGTGTTCTGGTCATGCAATTCCTGTAACGGTGTAATGATACTCATTATATCGATGTAATCTCCAGTCATTTCAGCGGAGGCATTTATAATCTTATTGTAAAAATTATCAAACTCTAATGTGGTTAACATTTCCAGACGGTACGTTATTAAATTCGCCAGTAACCACAACCGTTGAAGTGAACCAAATGCCATATAAATGTCACATTCCCCGTTGTCAACGATTTTTATGACTTTGGTATTGTTTATCACTTCAGACGTTATGGTTTTGAATCCCACCTTAATTGGTAACAATTTTCCTTCTGTTGAGCAGAAGTAATTCGTAATAAGGTTTTGATTGTCTGTGAATAATTTCCATTCACTTTTATCAAAGGAAACACCTGCAGTCTTGGATCCACTGATTCTTACCATTGGTGTGAATTGACGGTACACTGATAGTCCAACACACACCCATTTACTTTTACTATTGTTAAGTTCATAACGCGATTGATTGACTAAATTAACATCACTAACCGTGAAAGGCACTGTATTATTGTTCTTCAATTTATCAACGGTTTGCTTTAAAAAGTTGATATTATCCATGATCGGTGACTACTACCATGCATTACATTGTGTGTATTATATAGTACCAAATCCCCCACGTAACGTTGGTTGTGTGGAGACCTTGACTGTGTGGTGGATTTAATCATTGATTTAACCTTGACTGTGCGGTGGATTTAACCTTGAAGTATGATGGATTACAGTGGAGGGGATACATAAAGCTGCTAGCGCCCAAGCAGTGGTAATCATTGTTTCAAGATGTGTGGAGAAGATGTGGATATTGAAAAGCTTCAAAGTGTTTCTTTAAT